GGAAGGACTGTCACTCATTAACAACCTTTAAAAAAAACAACCCAGTTTCAGTGGAAGTGTGCAAATCTGGATAGTTTAAAAACACACCTGACGAGATGGCTGCTTGGGGAAAGGCAATTGAGGCCGACTGAAAAAGGGCAGGCATAAGCTCAGCTGGGCACCCGTTTCCTCTGTCTGGTTCAGCCATCCTTTGAGGTCTTAAACAACTTTTGTGCCAGTGTAAAAGCTGGGAAGTAAATAGAGGGGGAATTAGCTCGAGTTTAAGGGCTAGGAAGTACACCAAGGAGAAATGTGGACACCTGCAGTAACTGCTCTGAAAAGGAGGAAACAGAGGAGAGCCGGTAGTTGCAGAACCTTTCTGGACTTGTTGGGAGACTCGGGCAAGTGCTGAGCAGGAAGGAAGTCAGTTCCACAAGTGTCAGCTCAACACTTAAAAAGGAGTGAATTATATCACCAGAGGGGAAATACTGTGCACTTACTGTTCGTGCCTTTGGTATGCTCATGCCTCTTGATGCCCCTCCCCATTTTCAATGTTTCTGTATTGTGGGTCCTGCTTTGCTGTTGTCATTATTTCTCCCTTTGCAACTGTGTGCATATTGCAACCTCGCCTTGTCACTTCTTGTGCATTCTACCAGCACTTCCACGCTCCCTTTGGCAGCTGCAACATGCAAGGACACGGACAAGGACAGCGTCTACATACTGAACTGGTGAAAGTGTGGCCTTGCACACCTGGGAAGGAACATGGAGAACATAATTAAACATTGCATCTTGGTGCACTCCTGAAGTGCTAATGTTTTTTGAAGGTGGTGAATGAAAAGGGGGAGTCATCAGAGCAGGGAAGGGCACATGGCTAGAAGGCAAGACACCGTCTGCGCCAGAGCCAGCTAGAGGAGTGAGGGAAAGGGAGGGGGAGAAACAGTTGTTGGCTGTTGAGTGAACAACCAGCCCACCCTGGCTTATTCTTAGGCTGGCTTAGCGTCTCCTTGAGTCACCTGCAGCACTGTATCTCTTGGCTGTATCAATCTGGCAGGTTTGCTTAAACCAAGATCTCCTCCAGCTTCCTTTACAATGTCTGTGGAGACAAAATGGCCGATGGAGGATGTTGCCTCTTGCAAGCTAATCATGTGAATGATCAGCTGCATCCATTGCAGGGAGTGCTACTTCACTGGCTATTGTTTAAAAGCAAATAAGATGATGAAGAATGGGACACACATGTATTGATCGCCATCAGTACTTACATGGAAAGCCGTCAGCCTGTAAGGAATGCCTGCTTACTTGCAAGACACTGAGTGTCCATCCTCTGCACATCACATGCTGCTGTTTGTTTACCTAATTGTTGTTTGGCCATCCAACTTGCAGGCATTATCCTGTCTGAGGAACTGCCACGATGGTAATTTGTTAAAAAGCATAGATGAATTTATGACATCGCTTTGTCACAAATCCTTTGCAGCTTCAATAAGATTGTCCAGAGCTAAACTCTTTGCTGCCATAATTGCTTGGAAATAGCTTCTCCCGTGTGAATTGCTGGATCAATGGTTCAGCCCTCCATTCGCCTGGTGACAAACCAGCTGCCCACACGATCCTTCAAGCACGGTGGGGACAAGAGTTTGCCTGCCCAAGCTGCTCAGCAACTAGGACAGGGGTGGCCAAAGCAAGGCTTGGAAGCAGCATGCAGCTCTTGGAGTTCATCCCATGGCTTGCTGGCCATGGGCGCCCGCTTGCTGCTGCGCCTCCTCCCTGTCCACAGCCACGGCCCACTTGGATGTCCGCAGGCTCCTGCTTGTGGCGCTCCGGTATCTGACATTTACCCTACGTGGCTGTTCTGTTGAGTAAGTCTGGATGTCCTGAACCCTTCCCTGATAACAGAGGTAGCTCAAAGCCAGCAAGGCTAATAGCCACTGAGAGTCTCTTTGTCCAATCGCCTTTTAAAACCAACCAAATTGGTGGCCACCTCTGTTTCCTGTGTCAGTGAATTCCTACCTCACTATGAGGTAATGGAGATGATCACCTGGTGTTCTTCTCCAGGTATCTCTGCCTTTCTAGGGTTCTTCTTTGCAAGTTACAAGGAGCAGGTGCCTTCCTGCGTTCTGCAGAACTTTGGCACCAAAGAAATTTTATTTTCTCAGGCCTTGTTAATGTAATCTGGCCTGTTTTTTGAGAGAGGGTGTATATATGTGTTTATTCTGCTTATTGAGTGTACAGACATTGTATGTTCTTAATTAGTGTGCCTTTTGTTTTGTTGCATTTTGAAATTGCTACGGTGGACATTTATATTGAAGGGTCAGGTATAAATACTTTAATTAAAAAAAAAACATCTCCCACCACACAAAAACTCATCAAGGGTTGTGATTAAGGGGTTGTTGTTTTTTTGCTGCTCTTGAGGAACAGACTTGGCTCAGTGGACTGTTGGTCCCTCATATTTTTTGTACTACCAGATGCTATTACGAAAGAAGGAAATTTGCTCCATTTCTGCCTAGGTCACCCAAATATTTGTCATCTATACATATCTATGTATCTTTAAAACATTGTTGGGTTTGTTCTGTGAAGGCGGAGTGAATGCTTTGCATTCTGCAAGCAACTCAACTGATCACTTGCACTGAGTCAGCTCAGAAACAACACTTTTCCATGGAAGATGTTCACAGATATGGCTCAAAGTCTTCATGCAGTAATCTAGAGATTAAATAATTAAAATGCACAGGTGAACCCTTAACCAGGGTTAACAGGTTAAGTATTCTCACTGCAGTCCAAAGCTGGTAGTAAATTCTTCTGTCCCGATGAAAACAGTATTTTGTCACTGCAAAGCAGTGCACTTCGCACACCGACAGTACATTTTTTTTAATTTAACGGGTAGTGGCAGGAAATCCAGCAGCCATCCCCTTGAGCTTTTTGGGTGGTCCACCCGTGTGAAGTTTGGTGTCAGTTTTCTGCTGAACTTCCAACTTCCTTAAACATAGCTAACATTAATAATTATGAGCATTATTTTCACAGGGGTTGAAAGCAACTGATTGACAGCTGTCTGAAACAGTTGTTATTTTCCACAGCAAGCAAATCCCTGGGAGGTGGTGAGAGATTATTTGAGCAGGAGAGGAACAATTCCAGAATTTTTCCCCTGAAGCACGATTGTGCTCAGCACCTATCAAAATATGCACAGCAAAGAATTGATGCTTGATGTTCTTGGCTCCTTTGAATTCTGCTGCAATGTTGCATTTCTCTGTAAGATATCTGTGCTGTCTCCTCCAGAAGTACTTTACTAACCAAAGTGGGGAAAAGATGCCATAAAAAGCTCAAGATAGAGGGAAAGGTAATGGACTGTGTCAAGGAAGCCTGGGCACTTTTATTGAGGAGACAGTTTCTTCCCTTAACATCCCTTCTGAGAGGAACTGCTGGAATAAAAACACATTGGAATAAGAGAGGAGCTTTCAGAGTTATGATAACGTTGGTTGCCAGTTGCATTCTCTGAACAGGAATGAAATAAGATGGGAAGAACATAAGGTCCCAAGTCAGCTCTCCTCAATCCGTGCCCTTCCAATGTTTTAGACTACAATTCCCAGCATTCTAGATCATTGGTCATGCTGGTTGGGGCTAACGGGAGTTGAAGCTCCACACACACCAGGTTGGGCAAGGTTGTCCTATGGTGTTTATTGTTATTGTTGTTGTGATTATGTGCCTTCGCGTCATCTCCAACTTATGGCAACCCTGTGAATGAAAGCCCTCCAAAATGACACCCCTGTTCTAAATTCAAGGCTGTGGCTTCCTTGACAGAGTCAATTCTTCTTCTGCCGTCAACTCTCTCTAGCATGACTGTCTTCTCCACAGCGTCTTGCCTTCTCATGAATTCCATCACAGGGTTTGCAAGGAAAGATGATGAATAAGTGCTTTACCATTGCATGTCCTCTAGGGAGGAATAACCAGAGTTAGTTTGGACATCACTGCTGCTGTCAGTGAAGGATCCTCTCTCTGCCAGTTTTGCCAGGTGGGACATACAGGTGGCCGAATACAGAGGCAATCGGATGTATGGAAAGAAGCATGGGAACTATTAAACCATGGGAAAGAATTAGGAATTTTAAATCTGGTTTTAACTATCTACAGTTGCATTTTGATTTTGATCTTGATTCAGTTTTGATTTTGCTTTTATTGGAGATATGTTACTGTTGGTTTTATGTATATTCTTAATTATTGTTAATTGTTGGTTTTGATTATGGATTGTTTTGATTTCTGTAAGCCATTCTGAGACACTTTCATATAGGATGGGGTATAAATATTTTAAATAAACTGTCTGAGCAAGAAGGTATGGAAGAGGCCAAGGCGAGAAGCTGGGTCAGGAAAAGGTTAGTGACTCGTGAAAGGAGAAAGAAAGCAAAAGTCAGAGGAAGGGATCATGGTGGTCGTACCTGGAGTGAAATGGGGCAGATGAGGCAAGAAGGAAAAGGGGAGGAGGGACAGAGGGGCAAGAGACACCAGAAAAAAAATCTAGGAAGGGCACAGTGACATGGGAACAGCCCGACCAGATCCAGCGCCCTCCTCGGGCATAAGGTCAACTCTACAGTCATGTTTTCAATGTGCGCTTCTCTCCCCATTTGCAGAAGCGCACCTGGGGAGTGTCGTCCCTGACTAGAATGCAGGAGATCTGGTTTTTGGTCTCAACTCAGCCAGGGGTTTTGGGCCAGACTCTCAGCCCAGCCTACCCCACTGGGTTTTTGTCGTGAGGATGAGATTGAGAAGAGGAGGAGAATCATGTAAGCAGCCCAGGGCCGTCTTGACAGCATTATGGGCCCCGGGTAAAGCAGTGTCCTGGGGCCCCTGCAACAACTACAACTACCGTTAATTTTGGAAGTTTTCCAATTTTCCAAGGGCTGACATACACAGCTTAGTATGGGGCCCACGGGCAAGTGCCCATCAGGCCCATGCATTAAGACGGCCCTGGAGCAGCCTTACGTTCCTTAAAAAGCGAGCTATGCATCTCAATCTAAATATAAATAATACCACAGCATACATGTAAATGAAGAGTTTTAACACAATTTATTTTATGCTGAAATAATCAACTAGATCATCCAGTGTTTGTGTTTTTTTCTTCATACATATGTAATTAGAGCTATTATCAATGAATCCTGTTTTCATATGAAGATAATCAACAAACTAAAAGTATTCCACCAAGAACCCAAATAAAAATGCCCTTTAAAACACAGCAGCCTTAGCAACCTAATATTACACAGCTAGGATGGATTACAGATGATTGGCTTACTGAAAGATTCTACATCTTAGAGCCAGTACACAATACAGTAATATTTTTACAGCGTGCTGCCAGTCTGTTAGCTAAGAATTTCTCTTCATTTCTTTTTTTTTTTAATTTTAATATCCCAAACTTGTGCTTACAAGAGCACCAACCTGCTTCTAAAAGCTGCAAGCATTTCCCCCCGGTATAAAGCAAGATCAGATAGTACCCCCCCTCCCCTAATGCACAACTACTGTATATGTTATGCTTTCTTTAAAGTTTAGGTCATTTCCATTGAAAAAAAATTGGCAACAGCAACAAATATTAGATGAAGGGCGTTGTGTTTACAGGTAAAGGGCCTGCTCTGCCAGGCACGGCTGCTGCCGCCAACTGCCCCCTCTTTTCAATGGTGCTTGTGCCAGAGCCTGCCGCCTGCCCTGCGCAAACCAGCGGGGGCCCCGTAGCAGCTGTGCTTGGTGGATTTCACCCCCAGGGTCTCATTTGTCATGTTGCGGTCTAGTGTTTGCAAAACTGGAAAAGGTTTCATCAAAATAAGGTGAAACGCATGCATCAAAATATTAGTACTCTGAAGGAAAAAAAATTTTTTCACAGAACTACAGAATTCCTCATCTCAGGAATCATTAAATTGCAGCAGATTTTAAAGATTTTTTTAAAATCAAGCTAGCGTTTTTGCATATACAAACATCATAATTGCTAAATATACAACAATCTGTGAAGATACACCCAGAATCCCCCTGCAGGTGTAGTCGTTTGAGACACTGATTTCTGTTCAACGTGAATGCAATATTCCGTTTGGGAGCTAAGAGGCAGTGCCTTAGGGATGGTCATTCTACTTCTCCTTAGAATTTATACAGCGTTATATACAGTGGAACTATCGATGTTAGGGTTTGTTTGTTTTTTAAAAAAAGAAAAGAGTGTTTTTATTACCCTGACAGTTTGGGTCCAAGAAAAATAAGGCGAGCTGTTGTGGATTTTAGTAAATTTTAGTGTCTTTCTGTGTTTTGTACCATGTTTCAGTGTTGGTGTATCCTCTCTCACCACAGGAACTCTTCTTCGTTTCCAGTGGCATCACGTCGCTTGAACGAAGCCGCGCCAGTGTGGCATCGTGTGTTCACACTGAACCATTCCTCACTGCACACCTTCCAGTGCCGTAAATGAAAGTGAATGTCCATGCTCTTGTAGAACTGGCTCATGCTAAATTAAATTTGTTTTTGTTTTGTTCTTCACATGAAAACCATGCGGTTAATGTGTGGAAGCAGCAAACACACACACACACACGTTTTTATCAGCAACTTGGTAATTCCTGTTGGTTTCTCTCTTTGCTGAGTTTCTTTCTAGAATACTGGCAGTAAAAGCATACACAGTCTTGGGTCAAAGGGGACAGGCCAAGGGAAGGGAGGGGAAAAAAAGAGAACAAATATCAGAAAAGTACATGTGCAAAGTATTTGTCATTTCAGACATAAGTACTTCTCCAGTACTGCAATATCCTTGTGACAGTTGCCTAAACTTTTGTGGTATAATTCAACTTAAATGCATCTTTGCCAGGAAGTGCCATGCAGCATGATTTTATGGCTGCAAACTGGCCACCTTTTCATAACCCTAACAAGCTTGTCATACAAAATACCTGAGCCATCATTATAGCAACCTTGCAAATTAATCTGACACCTTTATTAACTTTGTATTATTCTGTTGGGCAGGGGAGTTTTGAGACTGCTGAACATTGGTTTGGATGCTGAGTTAAAATAAACATCACAAGACTTGCCAGCTCCCAACCCATGCTTTTAACTAGAAAAAAACTGAATGTATGTTCAGAAATAGACAAAAATCTACTTCTGGAGACATTCCCAAGGACTCAAAACAGGCACTTAAACGAAACATTAAACTTCTGGCCATTGCCACCGATTTTGGGGGCTATTTCCAGAATGGATTTAGTAAATCTGCTACAGAGCACAACCCGGTGACCTCCACCTTAGCTGCTCAGGTGACCTCCACCAATGCAACCATCAAAGCGTGGTGCCTGTGACTGTCACTGGACATTAATTTTCACTAGATGATCACTTCCGGTGGTCTCGATTCAGCACAAGGAGGCAGAAAGGAGTCTGGGGAAGTGGCAGAAACTGGCATGTTACCCACAGCCTCCTCTTCTCCCCATCCCTAGCACATCCCTTTTTGTCCTCTCCAAAGCTCCATGGGGCGCTGGTTATTATACTTCTTGCCACATTAGTCAGCAGGGATGGGGGGCAGACCAGCCTTCAGAGTCCCAGCCAGATGGGGCTCTGAACAATCCAACGTCACACAATGTCAGGGAGCCATGCCATTGTGCCCCAGGTTTTGTAGACTAAAAAGTTTCACAGGTATTTGATAGAAGTTGCCAGTGCTTATTGTCCAACCCCCGATTCCAAACGGTTGCATATACATCTTGCTTGATGTTGATTACTGATGCTGGGTATGAGATGCTGGCCCAGCATTCACACATCTGGGAAACAGCCAACAACAGCAAGGGCTGTTGGGGGCGTACTCTCCAGGTGGCTCTGCCAATTCTGGATAGGCTACCTTGGCATCCCATCTCCTACTTCTGGCAATTGCCCATGTCGAGCCCTGGGAGTGTTCCAGGAGACTTGCTGAAGCCCAGGCTTTATTGCTACAATACAGGACCAAAGCGCTGACCCAGGAATGCTTCTGTCTGGAGGATGCACCGTTCCCGCAGCCTCGCAAGGAACCCAGCCTCTCCTTGGCTCTGCTCTGGCTCTTTTACTTTAGCAAAAGAAATTAAGCCGATGAAACTCTTGTCATCAGTTCATCTCCAGGCCAGAAAAGCAACCAGGCCAGCAGAGGAATGAGCCCCTCTGTGGACATCCAAATCCCAACCACACCTCCCTACTCTGCAGCCTACAGATGTCCAATAAAATAAAATGCAGCCATATTGCACGTTTTCCTTCTCCAGTTCCACAAGAGCTGGGTTAGGTGGACACCAACAAAGGCTGTTTATTGGCTGAGCCATTTTTTCTAAACTGACATTTAGTTATGTTCTTCAAAATAACACCCACGTTGTTAGGCACCGGCATTGCCCGGTATCTGTTCTTGCCGACTTCCAGATGGCCATTCATTCCTATGCTTTATTGGTTTCAGGACAGAGTCTGGCCTCCAGATATTGGGGGGTTTTTTTGGGGGGGGGCGGCTGGACAGAGCACAAGCTTGACATGCCGAATGCCCCACATTCAGTCTCAGGCATCTCTAGGTAGGGCTGGAGAAACCTTGCCCTAAAACCACAACGGTCTGATTCAGAACAAGGCAACCTCCCATGATGGTCCGTGGAACCAAGGAAAATCCCGAGGCCCAGTCACTTATGCATGTGTGGATGGCTTGCAACCTTGTCCTTGGGAAAGCTGCCCTCATAGGTAGGCAGTTAAGCACACCTCCTGATAGATCTCCCAACAGCTGGGCTCCATTTCATGCTTTCTTTAGTGTTGATCCTGGAAAAACTAAAGGCATCCACCCACCCTCTTTCCTTTATTGCTTGTGATTCCTGCGCTGTTGGGCAACAGCAGTTGTGTTGCTCCAAGCACATGTAAAAGGGAAGCAATTGCAGTGATTCCCTCTGGCAACCCATTAAGGAAGGGATGGTCACAAGCCTAAGCTCCAAGACTGATCCTGATGGCCCACTAAGACTCTCTGGTTGCTCGGGGTTTTAAGAGCAGAATGTTTATGCATCAAACTGACCGTTTGCTGTTTGGCTGTTATGAATATGTCGTCTTCTCCACATGCCGGATTTCCTTTTTCATCTTCACTTTATACCCTTCTCCCTGCTTTAAAGAAAAGGTTCGCATTCAGCAATCAGACATAAGGTGCTATTAAATGGATATCTAGAAGGTCCCATGTAACTGTAACAGGATGAGTAAAATGTGGTTAGATTTAAACACTTCATTTCAGAGACATACAAACCACGGCCTTAGCCACTCTGCTGAGATGCAAACACAAGCTTTCACTATTTACTGCGTCTGTGCAAGAAACAGAGCCCTTGAGCATTAGGAATCTCATGCAAAATTGAGGTGCTGCCACAGATGAAGGACCTTTTTGGAGTATCAAATATCACAGACTGAGTTCTTGTAACAACATTTAGAATTCTGCAGGCCCCACCTCTCTGGAAAGTCTTTCACAGACATCACTTGCCCGGCACCCCAAGTTAGCAGATCCTTCGAAAACAAAAGCTAATGCTTCTTAAAAGGGCTCATAATAAAGCAACTTCAGATTAAGTAGATTAGTAATGAAGGAAGGAAGGGAAGCCAGCAAAAATATTTGCCAAAGCGAAACACAACTGCAATAAAATCCAAGTTCTAATGACAATAATAATGCGGGTCTTCTGGATGTAAAGGTGGGAAGCTGTTCTCTTAATGAAAGCCTAAAGTTAATGCAGAACCAATGACTCTGAAAATCATAATTAGGCTTAATTTACACGTGGGGTGACCATGGAGCAGGGGCGGGGGGAAATTTTCACTGATCTTTGTGCAAATTTTAAAGATATTGTTTGGAAATTATTTGCCTGCATATGCAGTGACCTTGACCCAGTGAGGATGCAATCCTCACTATATGTATTTCGGCTGCGGCATGATGGGAGTTGCCTTTTTTTGGCCAAAACATACACAGCATTGCAGGACACCAAGTCACATCATCCCACTCAGGCGGCTGTCCAGTTTCTTTCTGAATGTCTCCAGTGTGGGAGAGCCCACCACCTCCCCAGGCAGCTGGTTCCACCGTCTCATGGCTCTGACAGTGAGGAAGCTTCTCCTGATGTCCAGCTTAAACCTGGGTTGTCGCAACTTGACCAGATCATTCTGTGTCCTACACACTGGCATCAGCAAAAAGAGATCTGGACCTTCCTCTTTGTGACAGCCTTTGAGGTACTTATAGAGGGATATCATGTCCCCCCTCAGTCTTCTCTTCTCCCCTCAGTCTTCTCATCACTCCTCACAGGGCAGTGTTTCCAAGCCCTGAATAATTTTTGTTGCCCTCCACTGGAGCCTTTCAAATTTCCCTGTATCTTTCTTGGTGCATCTTGGTGCAGCCCGTCCCTGCTTTGACTTGCCTTTGCTCTGGCAGCATCATGCCATTGGTTCAAAAGAAAAAAATGACAGGGTGATCAAGGAAAACACATTTGGCCTTGGAGGTCGCCAGTGGCTGCCAATCTGGAGGGTTCTATGCCACCTCCAGTCTCAGAAAGCAGATGCATGCGCACGCCAGTTGCTGGGCAACCTGAGCAAAAGGATGCTGTGTCTCTTCAGTCCCACTGTGGGTCTCCCATAATGGGCAGCGGCTGAGTCACTGTGGGAGTGGAACGCTGGTCTAGTGGGTCCCTTGGTCTGAGACAGCGGGGCTCTTCCTGGGCACAGAAGGTTCCCTAGAGAGCATTGGACTGTGACTGCATTCTGGATCTCATGCTGGAGCAGACCAAGAACGTGGGGGGCACAGGTGGAAGGGTGTTAGGGCACTCAGGGTGCCATCTTGTGGGTTTTCTGCAGGCAGCCAGTGGGCCAGTGTGTGAGCAGGATGCAGGACAAGATGGCTGTGATCAGCGCAACTCCAATTTTCCTAAGCATGGCCTGCATGAGCCTCCGCCATTTCTCCTGCCTTCTCCCGTAAACGGTGTCCTTCCAAACTGACCGCTCAGCGGTTTGGCAGGCTGAAAGGAGGACCACTTTTTATGGGGAGGTTCAGCTCTACGCACCATGGTCCCTGTGAAAATCACCCCCCCCCCACACGCACACACAGAGGTGCCAAACAGTTGTTTAGTGGGCTGGGCTGGGCATGATGGTGATGGAGACAGTGGCTCATGGGAAGGGGCATTCCCAGGTGCGCATGCGCATTCTGTGGGTGCGCGTATGTGGGCACAGGCATAGGGGGAGCTGCTGGCTCAGACCGTGCCCTCTGCTCTATGGGGCACTGAGAGGGAAAATGTGAAAGACACATTCCTATTATGGATCAGTGATAGCCAATTCTAATTGGTGTGGCCGTGAATTATGGGCACACCTACTTATTTGGAAGCTATCTGGTTCTGCTGTGTCACCCTGAGATTTTTAAAAAGAAAACAGCAAAGCCCGTGTTTCCTTTATAGCATGAGCACTTGCATTTGTCTGTAAGAGTGTGCGTGATCTTATACTCCTTCCAATGTCTCCAAAAGGACATCTGTATCAATCCTTGAGTATTATGCAAATTTGCACAGAAAAATTGTCTGCAATCTGGACTTGAGTAGGGAAAAATGGGAACCAACAGTACGGATGTAGGACTATAAAAAAAACCTGACATCATTTTAGACTTTAAGCTAAACCTTTAGTGTTGTGGCTGTAGGTTCAGCCAGCTGCAGCACAGTTCTAGTGTGCATTTACTGGGAAGGCAATCTAACTCTGTATCCAAGGGGTGGAGGCAACTCTCAGGCAAATTTGCCCAGGATTGCAGCCTTTGCCACAGAAAAGAGCAAAGAGGCGAGAGCGTAGGACCCCCAGCTGGTCCTGTGCCATCCCTTCTCAGGATTTTAGAGGGCTGTAGCTAGAAGGATGGCAAACAGCTTTCAAATGCAGTGTTTGAAATTGCAGCATGGATAACTCTGCTGTGAATGCATGCTCCCAGGACCAAAATAATATGTCAGTGTCTCTCAGAAGAGATGAAACAGTAAGAAAATAAAAAAATAAAAAGGCCTGCCAGCGAGCAATAATGCCGGCGGGGCTGCAACCGTCCTGAATCCAGCTGCACACCTTGTCCAAAGCACAAGCATTCTGCTTGCACGGCTCAAAGACGAGGTTAAGCTGCACACCGCCAGCCAATCCAATCAGCAGAGCGGAGTTTAGAGAGAGCCCTCTTTGCCACCCCACTGCAGCCCCCACTCCGGTTACCATGTCACCGTGTTTTTTCTCGTGTGGAATTACAACGCGCCGCAGTACTTTCCGGGTAACCTGTGGGAAGCAATACAGGAAAGACAAGTATCGACACATTTTCTGCCTGGATCCAAAAGGGCAAAGTTGACATAAAAGGAGTCAACCCTCATAATACAAAAAGGGAGACAGAAGAAAGAAACTGCAAGGTAGGATTACTTTTCGAGTGATGACGTTGCCTTCTTCATCAGTAAACTGTTCCTCCGTAACAGATTCACCGGGAATGTTTTTTGCTTCCTCACCCTAAAGAATGTGTTACAGCATTAGCCACGGTTACCCATATCCGCACACATCGGCTTTTCAACACCACTCCAAGCAATTAAAACCATGCCAGGCTGAATCTGACTTGTTAGAAAGAGTGACTCCAGTGATTTAAGGCACTGCAATATGGGAATGGTACATAATCTGTTCTATCACATTCATGGCCTTACGAAACCGTAGAAACCCTCCACAGGGGACTGCCAGCTCCCAGAAGGAAACACAGGCCAACCCATGCTCATATGCTCAGACCTTCTGTGGGCGTTCTAGACCGAAGGCACGCCACACCGTTGGCTTACTAAGGGCTAGACTAATATTTAAAGCGGCCCTTGCCCGCCCCCTTCCCCCAGGGATGGCAGGGCTAGTGGAGGCTCACAGCCTGGCTATAACAGCATGGACGTTGTGCAAAACACCACCTCCATGAGGACAGAGCATTCTCTGCCAGCCGCGGAGGCAATCCGATTAGGACCACGGCACATGGACGGCAGTAGCCCCCGTGGACTGACCCGGTGAGTCATGCTGCCTTTCGTCCTTCAGGCAGGCTTGCTTTAAGGCTCAACCCACCACACAGCACAGCCTTGTGCGTGTTTACTCGGAAACAAGTCCTCCTGCATCCAATGGAACTGAATCCCAGGGAGGTGAGAACAGGCCCACAGGCTCATTCTTCAATGAGAACAAAGATTTCTTAAATGACTATGCTGTAGACACCAATCTGGAGAGAAGGGTTCATTCATTTATTTTTAAAGGATTGATTGCCTGATCCTCCAGGCGGAGAGAAAATGGAGGTTTCTCGCTCCTCCCATAATCCACTTTCTGTGGGGCATGTTATCTTCTGCTAGCCCTTTCTCTTGCTGCTTTCAAAGGTGCTTTATAGACGATGGCCTGATAGTTGTCCTCTGTCGCAACAGAGGGCAAGTTTAGAAGCAAGAGGTGGAAACTGCAGCGAAACAGATTTGGCTTAATGTTAGGAGAAGCGTCCTGCCAGGTTCTTCGCCCTGTGAGCACGACCGTCCCTCAAAGATGGTTTGCTGAAGCCTGTGCGGCCGAGCCTGCACTGCGCCAGAGCCACGGAGCGGTGCCAGTCTATTTTTACTCTCTCCTAAGCTGCCATGGGGATGCTGATGGGCCGCTCGGAGGGAGTGACTTGCAGAAAGGCAGGCAGGCAGGCAGGAACAGCTTTTGGTCAATTCAGAAATAGCACTTCTGGGACTGCACCCCTTCATTGTGCGGTTGGGTTATTCTATCTGACCACATCGCATGCAAACAGAGGGACAAATCTTGACTAATAGGCACAAAATTATTTGTGGGAGAGGAGTATGTGCAAAACCTTCTTTCCACTGTGCTAACCTTCAGCTTCCGGGGAGGTACTGGATGTTGCAAGAGCCTCCAACGAGCTCCTGATGGTAGACAGGTGACTCCACAAGGCTGGTACATTTAAGCAGCCTTCCCCAGCCTGTTGCCCTCCAGATGTGCTTGACTGCAACCACCATCATCCCCAGCCAAGATGGCCAATGCCCACCCTGGCTGGATATAATGAGGTTTCTAAAAGAGCTCATCTGGAGGGTACCATGTTAGGGAAGGCTGCTCTGAAGTGCTACTCGATGATGATGATGATGATGATAATGTATGCATTGCATTTATGTATATGGTGACTTTTTCCTTCTCGCAGTGGTGGCAAACAAGATACCGCTCTTTTCCGAATTATCCTTACAACAACCCTGTGAGGTAGGCTAGTGTCGCCCAGTCACCCAGTGAGCATCATGGCCAATGGGGACTAGATCCTGGGTCCCCCATGCCTCAACCCAGTGCTCCAACCATCACATCACACTGGCATGATATACCAGGGAAGGCAGAAAAACAGAGAGAGCTCTGTGCAGACTCAGTGAAATAGCTTGAGTGTGCACGAGGAGGGCAGAACAGTACCTCCCACTTGAAGGTTTCAGCAAGGAAGTTCCCAATTTCCAACCAAGACCTAACAAAACCAAGGGGAGGTTGTATTAGGGGCAGAACTTGTGACCTCAGGATTACAGAGCACCAAGAAGCGTAGGCATGGCGTCTGTTGGAACTCAAAATGGCACGGACCGCAATGTAACTATTTATTTGAGAAGCTGGGTGGACACTCAAGGTCACCCGATGTCGGACTGATGGGGTCCGTCAGGAGTCTTGGGGAAACAGACCAGCTTCATGATACTTCAGCACTGGGGCATTTGTGCAAAAGCACGTTAGAGCCAAGCGGATCCAGATGCATCTAGATAAGTGGCTCAGGATCGGGTGGCAGTTACAAAGCTCCTGCCCCTTTTCAGTCCATGCCTGGCCTCTCTCTTCTCTCTCTCTGCAGTCTCCAGCCACATTCCCTGCCACGCCACCAGCGTTCAGCTAAGAGGCAGCCTGGGTCTAATTCCAGCTCGCCTCTACGTACTGTGTGCTCCCTCTCCCATTGGCTTGGGAGCTGGAGCAGCCCATGAACGGGAGAGGCTGAGGGGAAGCGGGGGCAAGAGATCAACATGAGCCAGTCTCTGCCTGAGAAAGAAGGGCCCGGCTTGGTTGGGGGTCTGGAACAATGGCAGACCTTAGTCTCTTGGGGAAACTGGGTATCTAAGATTTGGAAGGAAGGAAAGCTGCCACCAACAGTAAGCCACAAGAGCTCCCAGGATGCATGATCATGTTACGATTATTTTTAAAGCTCTGTGTCAGCTACAGCTCACATGGCTGTTTCAAAATATCTAAATTTCACAGTGTACAGAAGTTGGGCGATATAACAAGAGGGCCAGTCTATTTCCTTCCCTCTTCTCTCTGAGGATCCATTTCACGACAAAGTTCGCCCTAGAAATGCCGTGTGTTTGCAGAAATCTCCTGGGATGCATTACAGATTCCTCCAGTGTGGAGGTCAGAGCTTAAGTGAGATTCACTAATGCGCATGGCCCATCCCAGAATACACCCAATGCGCCACTGCCACTTTGCACTGAAACAGAAGCTCAAGCGTGAGTGAGAAGGCCGTCTTGCAAGGGAGCATCTCTGTCTTTACGGATCTGACTGCGGCACCCACAAGAGAGTTTTGGGAAATGTCTTAAGATTTCCTGCAACATTGTTTAGAAACCACTGGTGGGGATGCAACAGGATCTCCTCCTGGATTTGACCAAACAGGCAGTTCATGTCTGGTGGTGCTATCTGTATCTGCAGACCTTGCTGTGGCAAAAATAGTGCATCAGGAATAATGCGCCGCAGTTGAGCATGGGGGCATGAACCACACTTGGGTGTGTGAGCACCAAAAGAGGGTCAGTGTATCTGTGGCAGGCTTTGCAGCTGGGTTATTACAGCTGAAGCGATACTGTGCACAAGGCAAGTTCCCTTGTGGTGGTCCCGCAACAACGGGATTGTTGTGCAGTGCCATCAAGTCATCTCTGACATATGGGAAGCCTATGGACGAATGTCCTCAAAAACACCCTTCCCTTGACGGCGCTGCTCAGATACTGTGAATGGCAATTGGCTGTTCTTCTGTTAATGGACCCCCACCCCAAACAGGGGATTGCTGTTTAGCACAACTGTGGCACCTGCGTGTCATGGCAGCCGCCGTTACACCAGTCCAAGGAAACTGGCCTGCTCCAGATGTAGAAAAAATAATGGCCCTGTGCAAGAGCTGATGATCCAAGGCACACCATTGTTCCTTGTTGAAAAGATGCACTAGATCTTGATGCACAGGAAAACTGGAATGAGTGCCTTACCCTGGTTTGTCTGCATCGACAAAACAATCGCCAGCCTTAAAAATGGGCAAAATGCATCTTCACCGGCCATCATTCATAGATTAGATAAACAGAGATATCCAGAAATAATTATATAGACTATTTAATTATTTAGATTATTAATGAGATTTGGGCTGAAGCTAAAGAGCATGTTAAATATATGTCATGTTAATATGAGAAATGCAATCATACAAGGCATTCGACAGATTAATGTGGCCAGTATGTGGCAGCCTGATTCTTTTCAGCAGAAGGCATACAGTGACAACTTAGCCATCTCAGAATATATGGGAGGGCACCACTTGGTCTTGGATCCACCGTAAAGTCACTACGGCAAATTCAAAGGGTTGTTCAAGTGATTGATGCTACTTGACGTATTCTGTGAAAGACCTGACTATGGATGTATTCACAGGGTACAAATCTGTAATGTGAGTATCCAGATACAAGGCAGTTTCTTTAGAGATTCCATCACAAAGGACAAAAGTACCAGAGGAAACGTACCTGAGACCGTGCGCAAACTGGATCGATATCATTTCCGCAGCCATGCCTGTTATGCCTTGACCGGGAAGCAGCACCCGAGCGGAACCAAGTATTCCAACCTCTCTCTTTAGCCTTGAACCCCTTGGTCCGACCCTCGTAAGCACACACAAGTGCAGAAGTGCTAGCCCAGAGGTCAGGAATTCCTCAGTTCATTCCTTGCTCTTGGGTTACAAGCAAAATGTGCGTGTGTCTGCACAGACAGCCCACCCTTGAGTTGGTAGCTGAGAACACTGCTGGTAAAAAGAGAAATCAAAATCCTCTCTCTCTCTCTGTCTTGGGTACCGCTCTCGGTTGGGCTGCAAGGATCATAGCTGAGCAAATGTTATTGCTCCCACGTAACATCACCACATCCAGCTGCCTTCACATATTCTGGGGGGTTCAAGCGCCTCTGGAGATGTCAGCATGCAGCACACAGTGGGATTAGGAGAGACAACGCATCGTGCACTTGGACAGTGTCCTAGCACGCTCTGAAGGTGGCGCCAGGAGGAACCATCCACCATGAAATACATACCACCCCAAAAGATGGAACAGCCTAAAGTGAGTAAGGCTACGGGCACCGCAGTCCAACGTCATGCCAGTGCAACTACAGCCATGTGATACCTTCAGAATCAACCGCCGCCGATACACTCTCGTAGTTATTTTCTGTTCTTCCTCTGAGCTTGAATCACTCCCAATCTCAATGTCACTGTCACTGTCACTCTCACTAAACTCCTGATAAATGCAGTTTTTAGTACATTTTACCAGCTCATTTAAAAGATAAACATGAATCTGAGCAGGAACAGAGGGGAGAAACAATTATTCCCAGCATTAATTGGCATAAATGGGAGTGTGCAAGATCTCAGGATTGGGTATCACTGAACTGGGGGGCTCTGATACAGACACAAGTCAGGCATACATTCTACACACACAGCTGCCTTGAAAGAACAATCAAGCTCAGGAAAGGTTGGCACAGGTCTGGGGCACGCATAACACTGAGTGCCTCCCTACAAACTTCAGTTTACAACCCTGGGGAATATATGTTTCCTTTCTCCCTCCAGTAGAGATTTCTAATGCTCCCCTGTTGGCCTCATGCATGGTTTACCAGCACATCAACAAAGTACTGCTGAGAATCATGAGCCACCCTCAGGATTAGATACTCCCCTTTTAGCTCCTGTCTCTGGTCCTCCAAATCATAACTAACCGTGCACTAACCAGATGCCACCTTAAGCAGAATTCTGAAACTCCACTATGAACTGTGGTTTTAGATTCAGGCTTAAGGTGGAGATCCTAAGGCCAGAGAGTATTTAGGGCTAGGCAGAGGAGGAGGATGGTCATGGGAACAGATGCTCCCGAGACTGGCCCTGGTTTTGTGGAATTCACCCATGGGGTCGCGACATCCTAAAAAAGTACACAAAGGAATAGCATGAACAAGTAGAGGCCCACAACAAATTCATGGTGGAAGGGACAGAAGACAGATGAGGGCAATTCTGCCCTCTTCCTCCTCCTCCTCTTCCTCCTGTGAGTGCCTCAGCTGGCAGGCAAGGGTTTCCTGGAGAGAATATTGCCACAGCTTTGAAGCTTTAGGGTCTTGGCTTCCTCAGAATCCCCTTTTCTGATGGATGTGTAGAACACAGTGGAAACAAGAGAGAGGGGTGTGTGTGTGTGTGTGTGGAGAGCTGGTGTCCTGACCAGGGCTCTCCAGAGAGGCCATCAAACCTCTGAGATTCCTTGCCCAGGCTCTGCAGGGGGTTTCAGGAACAAGATGGCCTTCATATCTCCCATGGGGGCTTCCCTTTGGCTACCTAACCTGCAGCCACAGCAAGCCACCAACTGCATCTACTGGCAGAAGACAAGCATACTCCATATAGGTGTGTTTGGAAGTCGCTCCAAAGGCCAAGTTTTCAGCAGAGACCCTTCCCAATGGAGTCCTCGCTATTCACACACTCCTGGGCAGGATTGGGAGAAGAGAATGCCCAGGTATTAGATTATCCCGCTTAGCCAACCGTGGTGTGCTGCCTCTTACTGTGGTGGCAGGGCGGGGGCACATGGGAGAAGCTATCCTCTTGAGACGTGTTTGAAAAGTGGTACCTTTTGTTCAGCTGCCGCCGCTCCCTCCTCTTCCTGGGCTCTTTGTCTCAGCTTGCTGTCCTCGGTCGTATTCCAGCTCATCTTTTTCACACTGACAGGCACAGACGTTTTCAGTGCATCAGCTGCTGGCTTGCTCGCCTCCAGCAACAATTTCTGATGCGAAGTTAGTGCGAGTGTTTGCTGCTCAGTTCGGGCTGAACTTTGCATTTTTGGTTTTGTAGTTTCCTTGTCGCTCTGCTTCCCTAGACTGTTCACGGACTCCTGAGCGACTGGCTTAGTCTTTGCTTGCATTGTCGATTCAGAGTAGCTTCCATTGCTTTCCAGTTTTCCTGCTTCTCCTTTGAGATATGAGGTAATGGAATCTCTACATTGGTCAGGGCTACGAAAGACAAAACCAGACAGACAAACTGATAAAGGACGGGGTCCGCAGCTTGGGGGTACTCCTTGACACAGAGCTGTCCCTGGAAATCCAGGTGACAGTGGTGGCAAGGAGCGCCTTCCTCCAGCTTCGGCTGGTCCATCAGCTGCATCCTTACCTGGACGAGCACTGCCTTGCAACTGTGATACATGCCCTGGTAACTTCCCGCTTGGATTACTGTGATGCGCTCTACATGAGGCTGCCCTTGAAAACGGTCCGGATACTTCAACTGGTACAAAATAGAGCTGTCAGGTTGCTGTCAGGGGCTGGTCGTTAATCTCACATAACAGTGGTCCTCTACCAGCTCCACGGGCTTCCAGTTGAAGTTTGGGCCCAATTCAAGGTGCTGGTATTAACCTATAAAGCCCTAAACGGCTTAGGTCCAGAATACCTGAAGGATCGCCTCCTTCCCTATATGCCCTCACACCCCTTAAGATCGGCGGGGGAGGCCTTGCTCCGGGAACCTTGAAGGAAGTATGGAGGGTGTCTACCTGGAGGACAGTCTTCTCCACAGTGGCACCCAGACTATGGAATGCGCTCCCCAGAGAGGTCCGCCTGTCGCCGACGTTATACTTCTTCTGGTGCCAGGGAAAGACCTTTTTATTTAACCATCATTTTAACAATTAAGGGTTTTAGACATTTTAAGATTTTTTTGTTTTCTTTTAGTTTCACAGTCGCACTCTCGATTTTGCTTTCCTTTTTTATTTTTTTAGTTTATTATGTTCAATTTTAGATGTTTTAATAATTGTAGTTCTATTATTGAATTTCAGAATTTTATATTATGTAAGCCGTCCTGAGCGGAAGGACGAGATATAAATGCTTGCAATAGATAGATAGATAGATAGATAGATAGATAGATAGATAGATAGATAGATAGTAATGGCAGGCCCTTGGTTTGTGGAACAACCTGCTCACCTGCATGTGGATAAAAGGTCACATGTGCCATCCAAAGATGCATCCGGCCCATTCAGTAGGGCTTGGATGACTCTGATGCATAGTAACATGAGGCTACCTGGATCAGAACAAGGCTCGATCTAATCTAGTGTCCTGTTATCAAGTGATGGTTAGCCAGATGCTCCTAGAAAGCTCCCAAGTAGCCCACGAAGGCAAGAATCCTCAACCATGGTCTCCTCCCACCCACCCCAACAAGTAGCGTTCAGAGAATACAAGCACCTGGCATCTTCAGCAGCTGTAAGGAACCAAGGGCCCTTGCAAGCCTGCTTGGCGCTTGCCCGTGTCCAGGATCCCCTGGATTGGCAAGCCACCATCTTTCTTACAGTGCCTCTCACCTTGTCTCACTCAAGGGCATTGTTGGAAATTAAAATATTTGTTTGCATTGTCATGACTGGGTCAGGTTGTGACCAAGGCCTCTCTGCTGAAGAAAGGGAGCACCATGGGGAAGGCCCCCTAAAACTTGCAGCTAGCTCTGGATACACCGACACTCAACTAGGAGGTTCCATCTTGCCACTGTGATCATGACGGGCTTATCCTCTATGAATATATCTAATCCCTTGTTAAGCCAAAGCCCACCATCATATTGTGTGGAAATACATTCCACCCCCAAAAGTCTGTCCTTTACCTACTTTCTGCATCAGTCTGCAATTCCAAAACAAAAATTCCTGCACAAGAAATTGAATTATTTTTAACGTATTTTGACCAAATCTTCCTGGATGCTGTGTGCATTTTGAAACATTTTTGAACCTAGAACTTTATTGTAAAATTTGGAAATCTTGAAAAACTGAAGAAAAATTGATGTAATCCAAATTGTAGAGAAGCATGAATCTGGCATCTTAGTAAAAGCATGGTCCTAGATGTTTCTGTCCCTTTACTAATAATTCCACCTATGGAAAGTACTTTTTATCACTACCTTCAACACCGATTTCATGTTTTTATTGAGATGGGCACCATAATACCAAGTTATCTTTGTTGGTTAGTCACTAGCAATTCAGATTATATATGGGTATCTGTGTGGCTGGGAGTTCTCCTTTCCGTTTTTTTGGGGAGGGAGATCTCCTTTTTGTCCATGTATATAACTTTACACTTACTTTCATCTTCATTTGTCATTTGCCCATCCACCCAGTTTGGAGAGATCCTCTTGGAGCTTGGAATGGATTTTCAGATCCTAAATAACTGTCATCTACAAATTTGGCTATTTCACTTCCTCCCTGTTACATTTTCCACAACAGATGAGAACACTGTGAGGTAGGTTAGGCCAAGAGAGAAAATATATATCACTGGTCCAAAGAATTTAATGTGGCCTTTGAAATTGAGAAGCACCACCTTCAAAATATACACTGGATTTTATTTCACCAGGAAGGATCTGCGGGCACATGATTTTGTTACTGTTTGGGTTCCAGAATGAGCAGGATACAGGCATGCTAACTAATCTATTCAATTCAATGGGATGCAGCATCAGTCCTTAATAAAAGGTTAGCTTTGCATGTAGACGGTCCCAGGTTGAGCCCCTGAACCCCTTTCTTGAGAAATTCGTGCATGGGAGCAGAGAAGAGTCTTTGTGTGAGAACAGCTGATGGATGGAGGAACAGACTGAGGTGGACTAGCTGGACGGATGGCGTAAGGAAGCTGTCTGCAGAAGCATCCCGTCTCCATGTGCCACTGATCCAAAAGCACTTTAGAAAACACTCTAAAACCAGTCCTTCCAGATGTTTTAGACTATATCTCCCATTAGTCCTAGCCAGCACCGGCAATGGTTTGTTCTAAACATTCTCAGGAAGCACCAGCTCTTGTATGCTTCCCTCCCTCTTCCTGAGTGTTGAGGTCAGTCAGTATCACACTGCTGAGAGTGTGAACTCCACTGGATGTTGCACCAACATCCATAAGGAGTAGGGACTTTTCTGTGCTTGCCCTGAAATTTCAAAAAGTCCTTCTTACATAAACCCAGGAGGTCCATTTTACTTGTCCTCTTCCTTTGCATCCTTTGGGAAGAAACGTCTATTTGTCTTTGCCTTTGTAAGCCAAATTCTACATATTTCTGGCTGTTCCTTCTGTTTTGAGGTAGTTTTGATTTTAGATGTTTAACTTTAAATGCTGGTTGGGATTTTACAGTGTTAAATATCATGCTGCAGCTTTGCCTTGAGAGCATCAGATGAGAGACAGTCATAACATACTGTAAAAAAGGCATACCATAAATTTAGATGCCTGCTTATTTAGATAAGTGAGATGGAAGTAACAGAGGTGGGAAAAAGCCCTAATTATTTGGAAACCCAGAACATCTGGTTAGTTTGAAACAAAACTGGATTAGCCTGAGCACTTTCATACCTGTCATCTAGTCGATCCAGCAATTCCCCAGTTATTCTGCGTCCTGGCGTTGGTGGTTCCACATTGCCACTGGAGGCCTCACTCTGCCAACCTGTAATTGAAGACAGTTCCTGTTCTGCCTGCTGCACATACTTAAGAATAGACAAGACTTTTTCTTCCGTCATCTCCTCAGACTCAACTGCTTCTTCTAGGTGGATATCTTCAAACAGAGATTTAAGCTTTTCTTCCGTCAGCTCCTCATCAGAACCAGACTTTTCTCTCTTACGCTGTTCACTTCTCACTAAGGTTGGACTAGTCTCTTCACTTAGCTCTTGTTTTGGTACCCCGGCGTAACTGCCAAGGTATCGCGGATAATCGTTAAGGTCCATTTCCTCCAACCGGATCTGGCCTGCATCTTTAGATGTTGCTTCTCTAGGCACTGAGAAATCATGTTTGCCGTCTTCCAGTGAAGTGTCTTCTTCAGTCACCACTGGAGGTCCAGCTGCTGTATCATCTATGATTCCCTGTGAAGTTACTAACACATCACTCAGTCTACTGGGAGTTCTAAAGGGTGACTCTATACTAGAGAAATCACTAAAGACATCCTCTTGATGGGAATGTGTGGTTGGCACGAAGCGCAACCCAGTGGGAGTTTCCAGTTCCACTTGAATGGTAGGATAACCTAAGGAAGACAGTACATTTGGACTGATTGCAATGAAGTATGGAGCAACATACAAGCAAGCATGCAAAATGGCTGATTAATTGTACAAACTATGGGCAATGTAGGAGATGGTAAGAGCAATGTAATTAGGAATGTGATAATGAATGTATGCCACTGAAGAATGCAATGAAACTGAAGGCTGTAAGTTCAGCACAGCTCCTGCTGATGAATATATGAAAATGAAGCACCTACTGCACAAGTATGGAAGGTTTTTGATTGCCATTTTTCTAGTCATTTGAATGATTTCATACCCAAAGAATTTTCTCTTGCCTGTATGAAATGGGTTGATTCTGGATTGGAGCTATCCAATTATACTGGAAAGGGTTATTTTGTGGTGCAATAACATTTCTGTCTCAATTGAGATTCACACACAAAACATAAAGGTAAAGAATAAAGTTGAACTGCAAGACAGACAACTTTCCTATAAGCCTATTTAAAAAAAGAGAGCTTACGTTGCTTTAAAGTCTGGTTTTAAAGCAACCTTGCAGTTCGAAAGCATACAAATGCAAGTAGATGGAAAGGTACCACTTCAGTGGAAAGGTAACAGCATTCTGTGCACTTTGGTGTTCAGTCATGCTGGCCACATGACCATGGAAAACTGCGGACAAACACTGGCTCCCTCGGCTAGGAAACGGAGATGAGCAACCGCCCCCAAGAGTCAGACATGACTGGACTTTAATGTCATGGGAAAACCTTTTTAAAAGCATTATTGGCCATATTTCATTAATAATGTGATCTATCTTTATATCTGGATTATACTGTTTATGTATTTTGAATATGTTGATTTAACGTTATTGATTTTAGAATGTTGTTTTTATATTGTGAGCTGTGCAGAGCCCAAATATGGGCTATTGTAGCAGCATATAAATCCATTAAATAAATAAATGTTGTATAGCACTTCCATTAGGTCACTGCTCCATGAAATGAAGTTGCTATAAAAATAGAACTGGATCTCAGCAAGGGCAGGAAGGTACAGCACATGCTTAAACATGGCAGAGGCAAAATCTAACATAAAGAGGGTATATATCACATACTAAAGTGTGGGTAGGACCTAGATATAAATTTCAGGAACAGTAAAGCTATAGTGATTAGAGGATTGTGATGACTGAGGAGATCTTGGAGACTGAGGAGATCTTGGTGACATGGGTACAATCAGAAACACTGAGCAAATAAAGAGAGAGAAAGAAAGATGAGCAATAAAAATGAGACGGCAAAAATTCTGTAGGACACGGATGGCCAACTGGAGACCTGTGGGTCAGTCCCGGCCCTGACGCAACTGGATGCGGCTCTTAATGGGACCTACGGAATTTCAGTGCAGAACTGGCACACAGAATTGCCACACCAAGCTTAACATATTGCTCTCTCATGGGCATTCTGGAAGGGCAATTCCAGCTGCTGTTCAGCCTCCTAAGAGGATCTTTCCAGAAGTGAGTTACTTTCTCCACCCAGCAACGTATGCCCTTATGTCATCTGGACATGAATGCTTCATATCCACAAAGCCCTCACTGCAAGTCAGTGCTAGTTTTGTTACAAGGCCCAAGCATCCACTTGACTGCTTGTGTGGAAAGTACCCAAGCAGTGGCTGGCGGATGGAGCATCGCCACAGGAATACCAGCATTGGCCACCCTTGCCCTACCCATCAGACAAATCAGAGACAAATGAAATGCCAAGTGAATTGTCAGCCATGTTCCCACGTGTAAATATTAAGTTGACCGGCTTGAGAAAGGGGAGGGGGGAAGAGTCCGGCGTTAAACTGTGCCGACTGGGGAGTAGCGTGCACTAGTGAGGATTTTTTCTGAACTGACAGAGAGAAAGTTAAACATAGTCTGGTCTTGGTGAGGATAAGAAGCCTGAGGAAGGTTCAGAGGAGAGGAAGGCAGAACGCAAAACGAGAGAAGCACCTTCTCTTTGCAGCAAAGACACTTGTCTTATGATTAAACAGCACAAGCAACATTTCAAGATGAAATTTCTTAAAATGTCCACAGAACTTCATCTCTGCAATGCGGTGATTCAATGACCAAAACTGCTGCTTGGAGATGAATTAAGCTTATATGCTCTGCACACAGCCAGAAATTCTTCGCAGAAGTCAGCAAAAGGATATGCACTTGATTAACATAGCAACAACAGCAACGACGCAACTTTCATATGGCATAGAACAGCCTTTCCAATAAGACATCCTCCTGATGGGTGTGACTACAGTTACAGTCATCCTCAGCCATTGGTTATGTTGGCAAGAGATGGTGGGAGTTGTAATCCAACACACATGGAGGGTGCAAAGTTGGGAAGGTTAGTTTAGAATAATGCAGCTTATATAAAGGCCCTGAAGGATTTGAAAAGTACCCTATCAGAGGACAGAAATATTTTGTATAACTGGATCGCAAGTTTTATTTATACTCCATCTTCCAAATAAAAGCATTTACCATCGCAAAACAAACCAATGTTAAACATGGAACTGATTGAAATAGTTAATTATCTCATTATGGAAAATTGTAAGGCAAAGCTAGACTTAGCAATTGCAATCATATCTAAACATGGGCTGGATGAGGGCCAATAAACTGAGTCTCAATCCAGAAAAGATGGAAGTCCTGTTGGTGGGCGGTGCAGATCCCCAGGGAGGTGATTTTGACCCAGTTCTGGATGGGGTTGCACTCCCTCTAAAGGACAGGGTCCACAGCTTGGGGGTACTCCTTGATCCAGAGCTGTCACTGGAGTTCCAGGTGGCAGCGGTGGCAAGGAGTGCTTTCCTACAACTTCGACAGATCCATCAGCTGCGTCCTTACCTGGACGAGCACTCCCTAGCAACAGTGATACATGCTCTGGTAACTTCCTGTTTGGATTACTGTAGCGAGCTGTACATGGGGCTGCCCTTGAAAATGGTCCGGATACTGCAACTGGTACAGAATAGAGCTGCCAGGCTGCTGACAGGGACTGGCCGTTACTCTCGCGTAACGCCGGTCCTCTACCAGCTCCACTGGCTTCCAGTTGAAGTCTGGGCCCAATTCAAGGTGCTGGTTTTGACCTATAAAGCCCTAAATGGCTTGGGACCAGGATACCTGAGGGAACGTCTTCTTCCTTATATGTCTTCATGCCCCTTAAGATCTGTGGGAGAAGCCCTGCTCCAGGAACCCTCTCTAAGAGAGGTAAAAAGGTCATCAGCTTGGAGTAGGGCCTTCTCTGCTGTGGCACCCAGACTCTGGAATGTACTCCCCAGAGAGGTACGCCGGTGCCAAGCTTATACTCTTTTTGGCGCCAGGCCAAAACCTTTTTATTTAAACAGTATTTTAAACGTTAATAGTTTTTAAATTTAGTTGTTTGTTTTCTGATTTATTGTTTTGTTCTGTTTTATTATTTATTGAAATTGTTGTTTTAATTGTCTTTTTAAATATTGTAAGCTGTCCTGAGATCTTGTATTATAGGACGGCATACAAAAGCTTTTAATAAACAAACAAAAAAACAACAGATTTAGTAGTAAGTTTAGGCCGTTTACCTAAAAGGGGTTAATGGAGTCAACCACTTTAAGAATTCATTGACACATACCTTAAATGTTATCTTGGAAAGAAAAAATAATTATAATTTTCTTGGGCAGAATGGTTTCCTTTTGGACTGGATAGAACAGCCAGTTTGTGTAACCCACTCAGAAGAAAATCAATCAAAGTGAAACAACTACATTACCATCAACAGGATCATGAAAAATATTATTTTCATCTGCAAAGCTTCTGGTGCCTGAAATGTTTCCATAATCAAATATTGGTCCTTCCAACAAAGTTACAATGTCAATCCGATTGATTTTTGTCAATACAGAGGTTAAGGCATCAGCTGTAGAAAGAAAAATGAAATACATTAAAATGGTCATCCATCAACTTCACAAGCAAGAACATGCTAGAGAATCATTCCTAGAGATAAGGATATCTGATCTGGCCAGTTGTCTATGCCTTAATTTTACCTAGTTACGCAAGACGTGTGGGACTGCCTTTGAAAAATGTTTGGAAACTTCAGCTGGTTCGGAATACTGAATCGAGACTGTTGATCAGGGCTAGGAAAGGCGAGCAGGTCACTTTCTTGTTACGGCAGCTTCATGGTTTACAACTGTATCGCTTGGCACAATTCAAAGCGTTGGTAATGACATATAAAGCGCTCTATGGCTGGGGGAGATGAGGCAGGACAATTGTTCTTGGGATTGTTTTAATTGTGTTTTTATTTTAAATGTTGGCCCTCATTATTGTTAGCTGCTTTCAGCTTTCCTTGGTGGGAAGAGGGCTGTAGAGTCAAATACATCCCTTTGAAGATGTAGCATTCACCTTCTGGAGAGCCACAGCTAAGCAGTGCTCTCCGAAGCATACCTGATGGATACTCTCCAGTGTTTGGACACAATCCTATGCCATCCAGCCTTGTTTTGGACATCTAGATGAAGTGCTACAGAGGGGAAGGGAAGAAGTCTGGAGCATAAGGATGTAAAGTAACAGCAACCAAACGACTAACATTACTGGGAAAATAAGACAGTCTTCACCTTGCGCTAGAAAGAGCACAAGATGTGTGTGAGGTGAACCTTCTTCGGGAAGCTTGTTACACAGCTGTGGTGCCATGACAGAAAAGGCCCTGTTCTTAGTAGCTCCTCACCTCACTTCCTTTGGCAGGGGCTCCCAGAGAAACACCACTAAGGATGATCTTAGGACATGGGCAGGCATATATGGGAGGGATGATCCCTCAGTTAACCTGGCCCCAAGCCATTTAGGGCTTTGAATGTTAATACCAGGCAGTACTTTGAACTGGGCTCCGACATGGACTAGCAGCCAGTGCACATGGTAAGGTACTGGCCTAATATGATCCCACTGGTCAATCCTCATTATCAATCTTGCTGCCCTGTTTTGGATGAGCCAAAGTTTCCAGACTGTTTCCAGGGCTACTCCATGTATAATGCAGTGCAGGAATCAAGCCAAGAGGTGAGCACAGCTTGCCATCTTCCGTTATGTTTGCTCAGGCGAATCCAGGTGTACATCATTGCTTGATAAATGTATGGAATAGTTCTGTGTCAAAGCTCAGTTTGTTTCAGTTGGCACATACGAGTTTGTTTCAGTTGGCACATACGAGGTGTGTCCAGGAAGTAATAGAATGTTATTTAAAAATTATTTTATTGAAAAATTTTACACTTGAACATTGTCTCCTTCAAAGTAAGCACCTTGTGAGTGTACACAACACTCCCAGTGATTTTTCCATTCTTCATAGCATCCTGGAAGTCTTCAAATGGGTTCAAGATCCTGCATAGTGGCTCTTTGGATGTTATCCACACTACCAAAATGGTGTCCTTTCAAACCATCCTTCATCTTTGGGAAGATGAAAAAGTTGCAGGGAGCCTAGTCGGGATGGGGAAGCACCGTGATGTGTTTCTCAGCCAAAAACTCTCCAACAGCCAAAGCGCTGTGACTTGTGCGTTGCCGTGGTGAAGGATCCAAGTTGAGCCGATCTCAACCTGTGCCATCAGTACACTTGTGCAGATGACAGCGCAGCTTCTCCATAAGCCTTCCTCACCATTCTTCCAAGGCACCTTGACCCGATTTCATACAGTTTTATTGCATACCGCTGTTCCAAACGAGCTTGCATTTTTCTTAACACGAGGCACTTGGACAGGGTGTCACAAAAGAGAATGTCTCGGCTCTGGCAGGGCTGGAATGCAGCTGATCACTGTGCTAACGTGGACCTGGCACCGCTCCCCAAGTGACCTTGGCCAGCTTCTCCCTTCTCAGGGCCCTTCTCGAGCGTAGGGACTTCATTCTTATTACTTTCTGGACACACCTCATACAGCTACTGCTGTAAAGTGGAAGAACTCTACTGGTGTTTAATGCCTCCTTCTTTATTTATTTAAAACTTCTGTATGCCATCCCTTATGCCTTGGCATCTCAGGATGGCTCACAATCCATAGAATTGAGATACGATAAAACCACATATATAAATAACATAGTTCAATAAAAATTTACATAAAAGACAAAAGCAAAGCGACTGTTCAGAATGATTAAAATACTCATTTTTAAAATGCGATTAAATAAAAAGGTTTTGACCTGGCGCCGAAAAGAATATAAAAGGATATATAAATATAAAATAAGCTATGCTTTATTGCATTCTTTAGGACTGAGGGACCATTCTCTCCACTGTATTCTACATGCAAGATGACCAAATGACAAAGGCACAAGGTGTGTCTCCTTTGTGTCTGCCCCATATCTACGGAACAGCTATGGGGAGCCCGTGCTTTGCAGTTCCTAGCAAGTCCAGGTAGCACCTGGGAAAGCACGTTTCCCAGAGTGGATGCCCTCTCTCAGCCCTGCCCATTGGCCAGGCTTCCTGTGTCCATACATCCTCATTGTGAATCCAGCAAAGCCCAAGCATGGCTTGGATTTACAGCTTAAAACCTTTTCATTTGAGGCTGCATACATTATCCAAATGAGCCCAGAGTTTTAAGTTCTTGAGGCCAAGTATCTATCGCAACAAGCAACAACTTGGCTGTAGTGGCTAATGACTGCTGATTTAACACTATCCCTTAGATACAGTAAAAAAAAGTAGAGAAACATTTAAGAATACAGTCTTTAAGAAACCATGAGAAGGAGCTGACAGTACCAAGGGTGGAGGGGACTGGATTGGAAGGTTACACAGAGAACAAAGGAGAGATTTAATTTTAAGTGAAATACCTGGAGAGACACGTGACTATTTGCAGTTCTGTGACTTTATATCAGATCACTTTAAACAGGTGTTTAGCACTCTTGGTGTGTATTTTTATAAAAAAGGACCTGTGTGTGTATTCTAAAATCCCCAAAAGCTTAATGCTAGTGCTCAATGTACCAATGGTTCATCCATACAGAGAAGTCAGTGAGGCCAAGCCATGGACCACATTCACAATGTATAAACTTGTGCATGCTTCTAAGCCATGTTAAATATTTAAACTTACTTGTAGCATTTTTTCCATCTCTGGAAACCCATTTCTTTAACAGCATGAAGCTCTGAGCTATCAAAGAGTTTGGGTTTTCCACCCGGATTTGATTAATTTCATCAACAGAAAAATTCAGTTCTCTGGCCAGTTCTGTAACAGGGGGAAAAGAAAGTGAGCAGGAGAGAGAAGAGTCTTATTTTGAACAGTTTGTTCCATAGGTCTCACAAACACACACACAAACATAGATGGCATAAAAGTACTACTAAGGAGCTTGGCTCAGAAAGTTCTGAGCCCTGTTCAACTTCTTACATCTCACACCATCCCAGAGGGGAAAGGTCTCAGGGAGATCTTCATCCTGCCATCAGAGAGCTACCAGACACCACCTGTGCCCTTCCTTCACTCCATCAATGGCCTTCATCTGTACCACGTGCCCCCAAAGAGAGAGGTCAAGAAGTGGTACTCCTTTCCTGCTCCTGCTGCCTCTGGCAGACCAGCATCTTGCTTCCAGGCAGCTGACCAGTCATGACTGACCTCACAATTGTCTGCACATTCAGTGCCATGGCAACACATTGGCTTGAAGACACAACTGGTGTGTCCGGGAAGCACACGTCCAGGATTTCTTGCCTCCTTCCTGCAAGAGCTCCAGTGCACCTCTCCACCAGCTGTTCCTGAGGTTCAGAGGACACTGGAATGGCATTGGATATGATGCAGAAGACTGCAGCCTGAACTTGTGAATGGGTAAAGAATAATTGGCTATGTGTGAGTAGAAGATCCCATGGTATGTTGGATCCAAACCATTGAATTGTATTCAAGTGCAAATGCAATTCTTGTCCTCCAACTTTCTTATTTACAACGGAGGTGTTTGTGGCCCAGGATGGACCATCCAATCTAGGAAGAAGCAGGCATGGCAGACAACCATGAAGGCAAAGCCCCATCCCTTCCACCAACAGGAGTCGAGAGGTGCAAGTCAGGAGATGTGTTCACAATGACCATTGGCCTCATAACAGACCTTAAGGAGCAGGAAGGGGAACAAGGAAGTCTGGCCATCTGCTGTGTCACCAAGATGACACAGCTGCTACCCGTGCTTCTCAGGGCCCAGATGCCTTGCTTGGGGACAAGAGGCCTCCGGGAGCTGGCTCAACTTGCAAAGGCTGGGCAGGAGAGCCAGTGGATAGGCTTACCCATGAGCTCGCTTTGGTAGAGGCAAAGTATGGGATGGAGGTTCCCATGAAGGATTAAGGTTCTCTTAAATCCCTCCATCCCCTACTCCAGACCTGTGAGGAAAGAGGAGCCCTGAAATTGCTGCATAAAGGAACAAACGTGTACATAAAATCTTTCCACCTCGCTGCCAAAAAGCATAGGCTGGTCAAGATACTTCTAAGACTGCTATTACCACCCTGTTATTATGAAGCTGACTAGGTGACTTTGGGAAGGCCGTTAAGGCCACCCTCCTATGCATATTCAGACAGGCGAGTCCAACAATTCCCAGCTGGAAACGCAGGCTGGGGAATGCTGGGCCTTGTGGGACGTCCTGCTGTCCCAAGCGCCCTACCTATGCCTAAGAGTGTTTCTTAACTCTCCTACTGATCTTCTGCATGGGGTGGTTCTGAGGCTAAGCTCACTGGAGGACTGGTGGGATATGGGGACAACAAATACTACACACTTGTGTGGCCTAAGATGCTGCACCAAGAGGCATTCTTACAGGCCTCTTCTGCCTCTTGCCTCTTCTATTGTGTCTTTTATTTCGGAAGACACACGATGACCCGAGGAGCAAAATACCCTCTTGCCTTCCCTCCCCACCGCGACACACCCAGACCCACCAGGAGCTCCCAAAGGGCTCTCTAACTTCTGTGCCATCACCACATCATAACACAGTACCTGTCCAGCTAAGTCCCAGGTGATCCGCCACTATGGCCATCCTTATATCTGTTCGTTCGCATGGACTCTGCGGACCTGTGATTTACAAGTTCCTGATTAAAAAGCTGATGTGAAAGCATTCTTAGCACTGACTAGCATACTTCCATACATTGTGCTACGTTAGCTGGTGCTCAGATCAATGACTAAAAAGACTGAGTGCCCTAAAAGCCTACAATATATATGTTTATATATATCTTTTCATCATAGATTTGAAAAAAGGCACCTTGATAGGGCAGTGTCGAGCTACATGATGTTAATTGTGTAAATGAAATCAAACATGCTGACAATCCGTCTACTCAACTGTTGAACAGTGGTTTAACTTCTGGTGGAGAGGGGAAAAGTACAGCCCACCAGTATTTAAGGTGGGAGAAGGGAAGGCTTCTGGGTTTTGACAAAATGATATATATAATTGCTGTCACAAAATAAAACCTTCTACGACCCCAGTCATTACATGAATGTCTCCAGCATGCTTCACTAGCTGTCTGTAGTAGAGGAGTCACTTAAAGGAAGAAAGAAGAGTATAGATAACAACACAGATGACAATGACAGAATGAAAACTGCAGGAAGTCACTTCACAGGCAATCACAACAGTTCATGCACTAGGATCAACAAGTTGAAAATTTTACAAACTAGGCTTGATCTCCACGAGGTGAGCCACGAGAGCTCCAGAAACCTGACTCCCTCCATTCTCACCAGTCCTTCTCTTACTCCTCCTCCTCTCACTGTCGGACTTTTCAATCTTTGTTTTTAAAGATGCTGCCTCTGTTCTCATATCTCTAGCGGGCTTCGAAGTAATGGAGGGCTGGAAAACTTGAGTGGCTTCGGACAAAGATGTGTTTCTTGACGTACTGTCTTCTTCATCCTCGTCATCGGACACCTCAGACTGCATCTTTTTGTCTTCGTCGGAGAGGCGGTCCGCAAGCTTTAAAGCCTCACCGCTAATTCCCTTAAAATATTCAATAGAATGTTTACATACCTCCCTGAGCTGACTTTGCTTTACTTGAACTGTGGTGCTGGTGCTGGTGGAGATGGTGGTAGATCTTACCTTTAATGGTAATCTAGACGGAAGCGTTTTGGCTTTGCTTCTCTCTAGCTGCTCTTGGTTTTGAGCCGCTGGTGTTTTTCTGACTACGCCTACGGTAAGCCTCTGTGTGTTTTTTACAGGAATCTTAGACCTTACTTCTACATGAGGAGTAGAGCTGCTCGGTTTTCTTTTGTCAACTTTACTGTCTTGTCTGACTTTACTCACTCGACAGGCCTGGCTACTGCTATGTGGAATGGCTTCTTTTGCTGAGGTGGCTTTTATGGGAAGTTTGGATCGTGCTCTGTTCCCTACTGGCTCTGATGACTTCTGCTGTTCTCCATGTGTTTTTTGCTTACAGTGTCCTTGCGTTGCCCCTGTACCATTTCCTGCAGTGCTTTTCATTTGATTAGCTTTCTGTGAGGGACACTTGGGCTCAACATGTTCCTTTAGCACTACTTTACAAGTAACACTATTAGTAGCTATAGTGGATGGATCCAAATTGTTGTTGTTATTAAAATTATCTTTCTGGAAATCATGTTTTTCAGTTTCCCTACTGCTTGTCTGGCTAAGTACAGCTGGACTCGTAACCTCCTCTATGGCTTCATAGTCTAACCCCTGAACACCTGGTGTCACAGCCTCTAGCTTATCTGTCACTTCTCCAGAGACATCTTTCTTCAGCGTCATGGTGGAAGCAGAAATCCCCATTTTAATAGGTGTGCGCAATTTGGGATCAACTTTAGAAGCATTAACAGTCGTTGATGATTTCTCCAGTGAGACGCTACCCAGTGTTGCTTCCATGCTCTCTCCACTGGCCTGGATGATGAGGTTCTGTTCAACTGCTGGTGTTTCTACTTCTGTCTCTACGGTTTTCTCTACAGTTTTGTCCCCTGACTGTGGCTGTGTGATGGCAGTGACTTTATTTTTATCCCCTTCCCCCTTGTCCCCTGACTTCCCTTCAGAAGTATGCTCACCAATCTGGAAAAATTGGAGTCTTTCTTCAACAAAATCCCTCTTGCTCATGTCAATTGCGCCACTGCGAGTCATCTCAAACATCTTCCCTTCGTGAAACGGGAAGGGGTTGGGCTCGCTAGTTGGAGTACTTTCATCAGTTGGAGTTCTGGCTGGAGTCGTATCTGGGGTTGTAGCTTGAGATTTGTCTTCTACGGCAAGGCCAAAAGGCTTTGCCTCATCGTCCCTGGACTTGGCCTCAAAAACTTCATCGTCGCCACGACTGTTGGGCCAAGGGTCAAAATCTAGACTCTTAGTGGCGACTGTCTTAAAAGGGGTTGCAAACTCTTCATCTACTTTGTAACTGAAATAGGTATCAGGAAACACAGTCCTGTCAGGGTGCCTGCCTTCCAAAGTGAAAAACTGTGCCCCTGACTTTTGCTCAGTCTTATCAATACTTTTTTCAGAGGATGGACATTTAGATAATGGCTTGCTTTCTTCGGTGGTGATTTTCTCCTCCTCCTCAATGACTTCCAGCTTGCTTTGGCTAAAGCACCGGTCAGTCTGTTTCAAAATGCCTTCTGTAGCCCATATGTCTTTCTTGGTTTCTACTGCTGGACCTGCAAGTTTGGAATCGCTCTCAGTCAACCCATCGTCTTCATCTTGTAGATCGTACCCATCAAGAGAATCAATCTCAGTTGCGTCGGTGTCATGGGAGAACTCTGCAGTGGTCGCTATGGAACACTCTGTGACAGACTGGTCATTGTTCCCATTTTGCGCAATATCGTTCTGAGGAGAATCAAGGCCAAGATCAAATTCACTGGGCTTCCCACTTTCTTTCTTTCCAGCTGATTTATGCTTGGAGCCTTCTTTCTGGTCATCTTCAATGTCGTTTAACTTAAACATGTACCTTTTTATTGGAATGGGTTGATACAGGGATTCATCATCGCTAGAGTCACTGATATCTTCCCCGGGTGGCACAGGAGAAGGTGGCTGCACTCTTATGACTGGTTCAGCCAGTTGGCATTTGTCATGCTCATCCTGTAGATTCACTTCTATCATCTCCATTTCACTCTCAGAGGAGCGGCGATGCTTTTCTGATTCTGGTTGATCAGCATCTAATGGAGGAGGAGGTGGGAACTCAATGTAGGCAACCCTGTTCCCTTTTGGCCTTTTATTAGAATCTCTGTCTAGATTACTGGAGAACACAATTTTCGGTGACTCAACAGTGTCCTGTTTTATAGAGGCTGATTTAGCCTCCGCTTCCTCCTCTGACTCCTCAGAAACCTCAGGGATAGGACTGGGTTTGCCTGGTATGTAGGCTATTAGTGAATCAGGCGTTTTAGATGTGAACTCGTAACTCACTTCTTCTGAGCTGGGCGTCTCAGGTGTTAATGGGCTTTTCCCAGAGCTATCTATAAAGGACACCTGTTCTAACGTGTCATCTTCTGGACTACCTTGTGGAGAAGGAAGCTGTTTCTGCGGTTTACTGGTATAAAAGCTCCCTCTTGTCTCTTGCACAGTCTTACTTTCCTGACTTATAACTTTTTTAATACTTCCTTGCTGCACCTCCCTTTCATACTGCCTTCCTACTTGAACAAAACTGACATAAACAGGCAAGGTTTTGACCTCTCTTGCTCCCTCAGCTGTTGCCGAAGGGGTGGATTGCACCAAATTATCACCTTGAGTGGAGTCAAAGTCTCTTGAGGGAGACTCCTTTCTGGGGCTAATTTCTAAAGAATCGGGTGATTTACTAGGGGATACCTCTGCATCCTCCATGGGAGGGCTTAATTTGATGCAGCTTTGTTGCTTGCTGCTTGCTGGACCGAATTCTGAATACTTATTTTTATCGTGCTTTGCATAATCAAAAAGTCTCTCCACTTTTTCCTTGGCCATATGGGCATGGGACACTTTGGATGACAGTTCAAGGGCTGCGCTCTTTGGCTGCTCGTGAGCTCCATCCAGCATGCTAGCAGACAACATTCGTTTCTCTTCCGAAATTCTGATCGGAATGTGCGATATAGTCAAAGGTTCTTTTTTCTTTGAAGTTTTATCTATCATTTCACTGGGGTATTCCTCTTCTCGGACGAGAAATTCTCTATAAAGGACCTTTTTGGATGGAGATTTCACAGTCACTTCCTTTACTTCCTTCGAACAGGATCCATTTGTTGATACTTTGTGCTCATGCTCTGTGAGAGTGATGAATTCATTGGCTTTGTCCATCTCTTTAGTCTCAGAGTGGTCCATGTGATTTTCTGTCACGACATCCTGAACGAGCACATGGGAAAGTTTTTCCTTTTGTGTTTTAGGGGCAGACGTTCCAGGGCTTTCCCATGTTCTATAGATCTTTTTATCCCAATGTCCCTTGGTTGGTGCAACATCTGTGCTTGTGCTGGATGCCAACCCTTTCACCTTCTGCTCTACAAAACCATCTGGCACCTTCTTACTTGGCACTTCACTTCTGTGTTTCAGTAAATCGGAAGAAACAACATCTTCTGCAGCTTCGCCCCTACCCTGGGTGCCCTCTTTGGGTTTGGCAGCAGAAGGCTCCCTCTGTAGCCCATCTGCAAGGTCTACTTCTTTTGCCTGCTTTTCTCGGGTGTAAAACTGGTAGACTGGGAGCTTGCTGTCCTGCAGCTTTTTCACTGGGATTTTTGATGGAGTGTCCTGCTTTTTGTCCTCCTGAAGCGGCTCCTTACTCTTGGAGCCGATGCTCTGCTCAAACTTCAGCCTAATAGAACTGAGTTTGGACTGCTTCAGCTGAAATCCAGTCGGCAAAGCCTCAGCTGCCCTGCTCTTCTGAGCCATTCCTTTGTGATCCATCAACTGCTTGCCCTCCTCAGTCTGCTGGGCGAGGGCCCTTTTCTCAGGGCTACTAGGCAAACTGGCTGCTTTCCTTTCATCAGCTTTGGGGAAGCACTTTCCGTCATGGCCATAGGACCCTCCTCTGGTCCAATCGTCCTTGGAACTCTGTAGGTCAGAAACAGTCCCCTTCTCAGGGCTGCTGCTAGCCGAACTATGGCCAGAATGAGCTTCTTTCCCATTTCTCTTCTGCTGCTTTTTCTCCGGAGATCGCAGTTCATCGTTCAGCTTCTCTGTTTTGTCCCGGAAGAACTGGGAGACTTCTGTCAGCTTTTCTTCTGCCTCCTTAACAGTCCTGTCCACCCTGTCTTCATACATCAACTTTTCTCTACCTCTGTCTAATCTGTTCTCAGTAAAGCGCATCCACATAGCGTGCTTTGGGCTACTAACATCTCCGGTATAATGCAACACTGTCACTTTATCATAATTGTCCTCTCTGGACATTTTACCTACACCATTTTCTGAGATATCTTTAGAGATTTTGGTGAGGATTTCTTTTGGGGGGACTGTGGCTACTGTTTCTCTGCATCGTTTATCAGGCCCCTGTGAGTCTGAGCTAAGGGGTAGAACATGGTCAGTAACTGACTCCTCAGTGTCCGAGTGAGACACATCTAGCTTTTCTGAGAGAAGCATTTTCTCAGCAAACCTGTAGGACTCCCCTCTTAGTTCTGACAACTCATCATCATGGTACTCTACTGAATGTTGACTCAAAAGCTTCAGTGTTTTGTACGAGTCATCAGACATAAGTTGGGCAGAACTAGGGCGACTGTCTTCTTCCTGAGACACAGGAGTATTTACTCTAGAAGATTCCAGATAAGAAGGAAGGGATTCTTCTGCTGTAAGTTCTTCTTCTTCTTGCTGACCTTGCTCCTCTGAACAAGGAAGAACATCCTGTTTCTCCAAATCACCTTGAGGCAAGTCTTTCTGATAAACATACATTTCTTTCTCGGGATGCTTTTTTGTTTCTCTAATAATGACTTCAGTAGGTTCAGCCTGATTACCTTTTTCGATATGGACCTCTATTATACGCTCCAGTTTGGGTTTCATTTTGCTGTCCTTCTCTGTATGTTGGGGTGAAATTTCAGTAGACTTGCTAGCATCTGGGGTTACCGAAGACTTATGTTCAAACAGACCTGCCAGTTCTTTGGAAGGGTCACGTCCTGACTGAAAAGCTTTCATTATATCATGAACAGACATGGTTTCCTCAATTCTTTCTGAAGAACTCTCAGTACTTGGAGGCTTATGGTAAACCATTCTGGTTGTGGTAGTTATATGAGTTTCTTCTTTCACGCGGACACCTTTACCGAGAACACATCTGTGGTCGTCATCTTCCTTCACTTGGAAGGCTTTCACTTTTTCTTTGATAGATCCTCCGTTTGGCCTGGGTTCCAGCTCCATAAAAGTGGGTGCCGGTTTTGTTGATGGCAACTCTTCAATTTGTGGTTCGGGGACCCCTTCTGATGAAGGCTCATAGCTACGGATCACGTGGACCACCTCAGTTCTCGTCTCTGTGATGACAGGAGGGATGGGTACATCATGGAACAGTGGTTTTGGCCCTGTGCTCTCTGCACTTTGAGGGGCTGACGGAGTTTTCTCACTTCTTGTTTCAAAGCCACTATCAGATAAAGGACTTTTGTCTTGATCATGTTGGGAAAAGTCATCTGGAGACTCCAGAATGGTATCAGTTCCGAAAAAGGAATCCGCAATTTTGCATAACTCTTTTTCTGAAGTAGAAGGCCTCATGGAGGCTGGAGGCATTTTAAGCTTATGCTCTTGCAATGCGATGGCTGGTTTTAATACTCTTTTTTGTCTCTCTTCACCTTCTCTTTTCCCCTCTTCAAACTTGTACTTTAAGCTTGCCAGCGAGCTACTACCAATGTCATTTGTCAAATAATCAATGACTTTAGTCAAGTTATAATCCTTTTCAGATACAGCCTTTGCTTTAATTTGCACCTTTTCTGGAATAGATAACGGAGGACATATCATGCCTTGCCGTCTGGCTTCATCAATCTCATCTGCACTGAACTCTACCCATTCATCCTCAGAAGAGTGTCCTTTATCATGTTTGGATAGCTTGGTTGATGCTTTATTTTCTAAACACACATCCTTTTTCAGTATCTCACTAACTTTTACTAAGTCCTCTTTTACTTTCTCAACAATTTTAAAGGGTTCTTCATCATCTATTCTACCCTCCTTGGTTAGTTCTGGCTGGAAGGCCTTGTCCTCCATTACATCTGTCTGCAATATCGCTGTCATTCTTATTAGGTCCTCTTTCATCTCAGCCACATCTTTTAGTATCTCCTGACTAGAAGATAAAGAAGTTGGCGTGGACAACTTAAGAGCAGAGGGTGCTAAAAACAAGGATGATTTTATAGGAGATGAGGTTCGGTTAAAGTGAGGCTGTGGGCGTGTCTCTGTAGTCAATGTTTTAATAGGAGAGAGCAACGCAGCTGCCGATTTTGTAAGGGAGGATGACTCTGGGAGGTTCTTTAGCGCTGGTTCAGACAAAACATTGACTACAGAATATACTGGCACTGTGATTGTTGATGAAGTTACTGACGAGGTAGTTGCTGATATTGCCCCGAGAGATGTGTACAGTACACCTGCAGGAGGAGTTCTTATTGACTGAAAGGCTGATGGAGTTGGAGACACATGCGACCTGAGTGGAGAAAATGGCACTGCAGGAGTGGCTGAAAATATTTTCTCAACTGCATCAGTGGCTGCATTAACAGCACTACTTGCAGAACTGGTTGCTGCAGTAATCTTGTCTTGAAAGGTGGCGGTGGCCTTGGACCCATTGATTAAACTGGCAGGGGACGGATATTTCAAAGGTGATATGGATCCGTTAACCATGGCTACCTCGGGATGCCCGACTGTGTGTTTCACAGGGGATGCAAGGGATGAAGCCACCGTGACTTTAGATGATGAAACAGCATCAACTGCTGACTTAGCAGGAGACACCACGGATTTTAAAGGTGAAGTTAAAAGCGGTGATGCTGATGTGATGATTGACTTAAATGGCAAACTTGAAGAGTACATGTTAATGTTCGATTTGGGAGATGCTGGAGGCGTCATGGTAATGGATGATCTCTCCAAAAGAGACCCAGCTGTAGTCACTGGAGATGTCCGAGAGGGGAATGTGGACGTGGTTACCAGCCCTTTCAGATTAGTGGCTTCTGTAACTGTGGGAGCTCTGACGAAAGACCCAGAAGAGACTTGGATATTATATGGAGACTGCGAGACCACGGTTTTTATTGGTGAGGAGATTGTCCGAAATGATCTAATTGGAGAAGCTACATCGCTAACGGATTTAACGGAAGATGTAGTGGAGGCTCCTAATGTGGATTTGATTGGTGAAGCAGAAGAAACAGACCATATTGATTTTAATGGGGAAGCTGTTGGAGTGTTAGAGGAAGAGCTTGACAGGGAAGCGAAGCCGGACTTGGTTTGCCCAGGCACAGTAATTGGTGCAGTTGTCCATGACTGATATGGTCTTGCTGAAAAGAAGGGCTTGTATGAATAGGTAGTAGGTAAGGATCTTGTTGCTCCTGCACTTCGTTCAACCGTTTCTTAAATTGTTAAACCAAAAGAAAAATAACGTAAAAATCAACAAAAATGATTGAAAAACAGAGAGACCAGAGAAGAAAATTGGTCAGTAAACGTTGTAATATTACAAAAAAGCAAGTACAACTGTTCGCATGAATTAGGATGAAGTAGGTGAACTCAACAGCTAAACAGGAAAGGAAAATAGGAATGAGCCACATAATTATGGATGATCCAAAATTTAAGAAGGAAAAAAAGACAGGAAATGATAGACAGAAAAGCACAAGGCAACCAAGTCTGCAAACAATGAACAAACAGAAAACACTAAGAAAGAGTCCATTATGGTCCAAAGTAATAGCCACAACCAAAAATTCTTCTCTTACTTCCTATTGACTTTCTGATGTGCTAAATTTGAAATATTAAAAACCTCAGCTTTATTTTGCCTGTTATCAAGTATCGTCTTTGCTTTGTGCAAATATCAAAATTGTCCTTTGGGAAATTTCTTGTGACATCCTTAGCAGTTCTGTTAATACACCGTAGAGTTATTCTATAGCAGCCTTGTTAATACAAAACAGTATAAATGCAAACGACATCAAGTAGCTAAAGTCTGCTTTGAGAACCACTCCGAACTATTTCATGCAGAACCCAAAATACCTTAAAAGTGACAGGCAATAGAGGTGCAAACTGTGAAGCAACGGGAATAAAGTCAAATCTTTCTGTCCCATGCAGATTTTGTCTATGCTTCACGCTCACAAAGCCAATAAGAGCAAGAACTTTTCTGGCTCGAGAATTAAAAGAAACAAAAAGGGGGAGGGTTGTGTGCATTTGTTGGCTTTTTCATGCGATATTCCTTTTATTTGGTAAAACTTAAAAGCATCGTCTGAAATGACTTTAAGAAGCGTTTGTCATACATAAAAAATGGGGAATACAATTAATGAAAAAACGTGAGCAAGCAAAGCAACCAAAATGTTTGATTTTATTCATGCATGGTTTATCATGTCAAACGAGCATATAGAATGAAACACTTCATATGACATACTATGCAGAATACACACAAGTTCAAAAATCTTTTCACAGCATTTTTAAAGAAGAGTGCACTTTTTCTAGAAAGGGCAGTGTCTTGGTACCTTTTGAGAACAGCTTTCATTAGCAATTCAAAGAGAGGCAAGTTCAGCTTTTGCTGTTGCAAAAGGAAAGAGAGTCTACTTGGAAAAAGAAATCTATGGTGGTGCCCCAGTTAAGACATTCTCCCCACGCCATAAACCCAAGTAATGTGAAGTCATACTTATTCTCTTTTAGAAGGCATTTAAATCCATCCTGTTAGCCCATGCATTTAATATTAAGTGACTTTACTGACTAAAATCATTTTATTGGCATCTCTGTTGCTAATGTTCTGTTTTATCTGTTTACTAAGATTGGCCATTGTTTTTATCGTGTTTTTATGCCATTGGTTTTGTAAACTTTCTGCAGACTATTTTACTATTATGAAAGGATACAGACATTTAAAAATCCAGAATAAGTATTCTGAAGTCCCTGAAGCAGGATGCCAACTCAGGAAAGTTGTCACTATGGGATTACATCACCCGTCTCTTTTGATAGAGCAATGGCGTTCAGAACTCCAATCTCTAAGCGACCAGAGCAGCAGACAGCTTTCGCTTCTCCACCCACAGTTCTAGCTCCAAGTTAGTTCCTGCCCAAGTGCCCTGCAATGGCTCTGTACCACGTGGGTGGACCGGTCCCCTTCAGTGATGACAGACAGCAGCTGCATCTTCCACTGCCCACCGTTTAACTGCTCCAAGTGCCAGATTGATGCTACGGCAAGGGCTCCAGGGCATGGTGGGAAATGCGCAAGGGTGAGTGGCTAGACCCAGTGCGTAGCCGTGGCTGCGCTCTAGACGCTTCCAGAGGTTGCTGGGTGCCGCACTGTGTAAGGTTTACTCGACTCGATATCTCAAATGATCTGTGCTCAAAAGGGCTCCTGGATAACTGGAGGCGTTTTGCCTATGAAGTCAGGCCTTTTCCAATGACACTAGAAAACAACATTCATAGAAAAAATGTCTCTTTTTGTGTGAAAGATCAGTTCACAACATTAGTACATTTGTTAAGAAACTCACTCATTCCAGGCTCAGTCAGATAGCTGTAGCGCTTACGTAAAGCAAGGGAGACAAAGTTCTGCCGCCGTTCTGTTTTCTCCGTCTGCAACAAAGCATACTGCCTTTTGGTACCTTTAAGAGATCATAGTCACTGAGAGCAGATGTCTTCCTTTCGCTTATCTGGCACTTTTCCCAGTACGGTTCAAATTGCCAGGCAGGATAGAGAAATGCCTGTGTAAAAACAGCTCTGGGGAGCCACCACTGCCTCCCCTGGACATGCTTTCAGATATTTGGGGAGTGCTCGACTGCAGCTTGCAAACAGCACCTGCCAGTAAAATGAGCTATGAACTGACTTGGAGAACTGAGCCGCGGATGGAGACTTAGTTCTGTCTTGGGACAGTGTTTTAGCTTAGCCACCACCCTGTAAGGTCAATTGGTCTGAGACAAAGTTACTGACTGAACGTTCGCAAGTGTACAGAGCAACTGAGTAAGGACGTCAACCCAGCTCTTCTGTATTCAAGGCAAGTCATGGAGGTGTGCAATTTGTCAGGACAACTGCATATTCTCTCTCTCTGCAAAGGCTCATCCATCTGTAAACTAGCTTTAAACTATAGCCTGCTTCACGCTGGTTTGAAGTTATTCCACTTTTCCTCATTGGCTTCTAGCTGCTCTAGAAAAGCCTTCACATAACTGGGCCACATACGAAGTTTCAGCGTAAGGTGTTTGTTGCCACTGAAGAATGGATTGTGTATTTCAGAGGAAGATGACCAGACCAACCAGTATCCCTGGGGCTATTTGGTTGCTGCCCGGCTCTGGGATTTATCCCAAATTCAGCAGGCTTTAGAAACACGGCCTCCCTCCTCTTCACTCCATCTACACACATGGGGGCAAACGAGTGGCCCGTGGGTCCCACTATGGGTCTGTGCCGGCTTTGTAAGACAAGCAGCGGTTTGCCTTGTAGGGTCGAAGAGATGCCACGTGAAGACACACACAGCCTCTCCAGCCAGCCTACCCAGGGAGGAGGAAACGTGGGGGAGAGAGGGACTGTTCCGTCCCTGAGTTATGAAACGGATGTGTAAATATTCATTCTTCACTGACCCATAATTTTAAGATGAATGCTTGTCGAGAGAATGGCCAAAATTAGCTCCTCTAACTCGGTGGGCATATTTCTGCATGATGCCGAGACTCAGTCACCGAGTCTCACTGCCGTAACTTCCCCCACTGCCACCCTATCACAAAGCTAGCACAATCGTTATCATTTTGGGACGAATGGGGACACTGACGCACAAGGTTACACTGATACGATTTTGGACAATCAAATATGTCTCCCAAATTAATTTTTCAAGCACAGACATAAATCATAATGTACATCTATTCTGAAGTACATAAAGGACAACAAAAAAGGGAAGGAAGGGATTTTTTATATGCATAAATACTGGGATGCTGATTAGGAGTGAAGATATTCTTGCTAACAGATAACTTGAAGTGTTGATCACCATACAAGCTCTATGCCTCTGTGTTTACTTATAGAAATCAAGTTGTTACAATATACATTCAGTTTGCAAAGAAAAAAAATCAGAGTTATAAACTAACTCGGATTACAGGGTTTTTAAAAACATTATGGAATTATGTAAAAATTAGATAATTGATAACTATTTCTACCGATGCAATCCTGTGAAACAGATTTCTAGCAGGGAAACTGACCACCTGATTAACTCTCCCCTACTGGTATTAGTGGGACATTTAACATGCTTAACTTGGCTTTCCTATACTTTCATAGTTTCCACACTGTATCCCTAACCACCCCCCCCCCCATCCTTGCAACTTCCATTTGGGAGCCTGTGTTCCAACTCTGGGGTGATCCCAATCATGCCTGCAGCTGCCAACCTTGGTGCCTCCAGTCTCCGGGCAACCCGATTTTTAAAAAAAATATTTATTTATTGCTAACTGGCATGCTACAAAATAAAGCACCGACTTCCTGCGCTATTTTTATTTCCAAGAAAGCCCTGTGTGATGTGGCATTTGAGGCTCAGATCCCATCTCGGGGGGCAGGTTAGAAAGAAAGGTAGATCTTTATATAATTTTGTAACTCTGTTTAGTGGTGCTAAGAGAAATGCAACTGGTGGCTGTTTTAAGGATATACATTGGATTGAAAAAGAAAAAAGTGGACTGATAAACTAACTCAAGCGAATCATAAATGTCTAGGTTCATTCAGTGTACCTAGGAGAGGGTGTAAATGGATGCTTCTGAAGGCTGGTGGGATAGAGGCAGGACCAGACTGGGAAATCCTGTTTTATGTGTATAGCTCTATCTGCTGTAGAAATAGATGGGCTAACATGGTAACCATTTTGTTCTAAGTATGACCTTAAACTCCACCGATATCCATACTTTTAAATTAAATATTAAAACATGCACATCTTTGTAATCTGGGAGCTTAGTCATCATAGATCTGTGATTATACAGAATTTATTTAATGGATACAAATTCTGATCAAAATAAAATAAACAAATAAAAGACTGTTTGTATTACCTCATCATCTTGATCTGACTCTGTTTCCTTTGGGTCCCAAGATGCATTGCAGAGACAGGGAGTATGATAATGGACAGCAGGGAAAAGAATATCAGGATATGAAAAGGACCAAGTAAGGGAGCACAAAAATGCAAGCCAATTTAGAAAAGGCAAAGCAAACCCAAAATGTCAACAGCAACTCAACTTGCAAACAAAACTCTACATCAAATGCAAATCAACACGTAACTCTAAGAGCATAACGTCTATGAACTGTAAGCAGAAGCATGAACAGTAAACAGAGGACCCAGTAACGAAAATAATAGAAGCTAAAGGCACTTCAGAAAGCCTTCCTGCATACATAAAAACCAAAGACATTAAACAGGCTAACTCAGATTGCATGCCATTCAATCCCGTTATTAGGTGTTTCATTCTAATTAGCAAAAAGGAAAAAAAAAAAAAGAAAAAGTTAATTGAAAGATATTCAATGGATCTCAGTGATCATACCTTTTTGTGTGCTGGCAGAGTGATATTCAAGTTGCAAACTGCTGTCTGTGGCAGCCCCTTCGTAGTCTTTGGTTCTTTCAGAAATGATAAACGACCACAAGGTTCTTGGCTGGTGTCTCTAATCTAGAAATAGACAGTGGTTTATTTTGAAAAGTTCTCTGAGTTTCCATTAATTTTAGTTAGTTGCAGCCTCTAATTAAAAGTGAAAGAGAAGAAATTGAATGGAGAGGGTTTCTGGGCTCGTAGGCTCAGAAGAATCCTGTTGACCATCTGATTCGACGCGCCACAGTAAAAGAGGATCCCAAAAGAGGGATTTCCATGCTCCCCCACTGCATAGCCTTCCTGAAAAATTATGCCACGCTATTCCAGTTATGGAGTATCACAAACAACAAGGCTGGATGGAACGATCATCAGGGGCCTGCATTATGTACAGAGCACTTCCGCACAGTTGGGGTCAGCTGGCCAATGTCTGAGATTGCATTTATTTAAAATATGAACACCCTGCCTTCAATTTGGTCTTTAAAAAAGAAAACAACTGAACAAAAACATCGATCATAAAATCCTACACGCTGAATGAATGTTTTAGCAGTGTTTCAGCCCCAAGAAACTAAGCTGTCATTTAATCCGTAAGAAAGAGAATGCAAAATGAAGATTTCTGGGTGGGGTTTTCCACAGTGTGGTTGCCATCAAGGGAAAGGGTCCCTCCTTGGTCACCATCTGCCTCACCTCCATAAATGGGAATAGAAAAGCAGGGGCCGCTCAGGTGATCTTAATAACAAGGCAGGTCCATACTGGAGAATATCGCTCTTCTGCTGCCCTAAACTGAGGCCACGGAGAGCTTTATAGGTCAAAACCAATTTTTCAGATTGTGTCTAGAAACAAACTAGGATGTGCAAAGAATCAACAAGGGAACGGCACAAACAAGTCATTGCTCCTGTGTTAAGGCACGCCTGCGGACCGTGTAATGCAGACTGTGACAACTTCACCTTAAAAAGAAGGCAAGTATTCTGCAGATGGACAAATGTGTTATATCTTTCTTTAAAACTAATAACCTGTGCATTAAAGCACCCCAGGGGTTATTTACAAACAGAATGACGTCCTACGAAAACCACGACGCATAAGCAAACAATTAAACCGATCAAAATATCTGCAGCGATCACAGTAACGAAGGAGCAGATTACTTTTCTAAAGTTGACTTAAGAAGAGGATGGAACTGCAAAATGCTATAAAGTCCAGTGAGATGGTCAAGGGGGGCTTACTTTCCAGCTGGTCCCTTCAAAACCTCGTGGCTTCAAGCCCCATTTCCTTGGTGTACCATGAGCAGAGTTTAACCTGCCATTCCGAATTGGTAAGGCGGAAGTTATCTCAAGTGGTAACAACCTTGTTGTGTGTTGTAATGGATGATGGACTCTTTTTCGTCACCCGCATCTCATATGGGCATGAAAAGGACAAAACCCTCCACATCAGTACAATTAGAAAATCTTCTTTCTCGGTGTTAATGCTCCAGTGACTTTACCTTAATAGAAAATGGCAGTCTATTTTCTTTGAAAGCATAAAAATTAAATACTAGCTGCTGTCCTCCTTTTGTCAAAGGGGCTAGATTCCCATAGCAATCCACATAGATGGGTTTTCCTTCCAAAACCTGTTGGGTCAAGAAAGTATTTGTCAGTTCTATTCCAGTGCTTGATACAATGCAAATAAATAGAGTCCAAGTAGTGGATACTATTTATTTATTTTTCGATTTATATCCTGCCTTTTTCCTAGAAAGGGCTCTAGGCAGCTTACATCTCCTCCTCCATCTTATCCCCACAACAACAACCCTGTGAGGTAGGTTGGGCTGAGAGTCTGTGACTGGCCCAAAGTCACCCAGTTGGCTCCATGGCCGAGCGGGGACTAGAACCCAGATCGCCTGAGTCCCAGTCCCATGCTCTTAACCACTATACCACACTGGCTCTCTTTAAAGGCACTTGTCAACAAGAACTCAAGTGTGTGTGCGTGTGTTTGTGGTAAAAGGAAAGCAGTCAGCACTATGTTGGTTCATTTCTACATTTCTATCTTCAGAGGCTCTGTCAAGCCAAGCGCAGGTCTACCTGCCTCCTCTTTTTGCAACCACATGATGCAAGGACATATGGGGTAACGCAGAGAAGGAGTCACACTTTGCCAGTCATCAGCCACGTTCAGCTCCCAGGAAGAAAGGAATGGTCTTGATTTCAGGTGACACAGACAGAACTGCTCTTCAACTACCTGCCTTGGTAGCATCTGGGTTAGATGGAACATTTTGAACGGATAGGTTCTGATGTTGGAACTGATAGTGCAGACTGTATCCATTCCTGGCAAAAACTGCACAGATGCTCAGGTTTACTGGACCTAAGTGCTGGATGCTATTCACCTTGCTACTATTCATAATTTTGATTGTTTTTCTTATAACAAGGACATGGTCAACTTTGAACTGGCCTAGGGCAGCCTTCCATAAACCTGTTGCCCCATCTCGCCCAACCTGCAGCTGTGCCAAATGACAACTCCTACCATTTCCAGCCAGCAGGACTGTGCTGCATCCAGTTAGGAAAGGCTGGTTTAGAGTCATTATGTTCGACATGGGAAATCGGTAATGAATAAAGTACTTGAAATAATTGAAATGAAGAAAGTAACAGATTAAAATCCCTGATCAGAAAGGAGTTAAATACAGAGCATCAATGGAAGAAAGATGGACACCAGTTGTCCTTTATTAGAGTACAAATTGTAGCTTTCCTAATTTAGAATGGATGGCTATTTTGTTCATATTTAATAATATTTAAAATCCACCCTCCATTTTACAGTTGAATCATGATATACCTCAATATCTTTACTTCTTGCAACTTCTTCAAAATTCTCTTGCTGCTCCAAAGTTTTGTCAACTTTATCATCCGTCATGCAGAAGCAACGCAGATTAGATTCCACAGCATCATTCATTTTGGCAAAAATGACAAACTTGGCCATGTATGGAACACATATTAATTCTCTATAAAGCTGTGTGGCAAGCCCAACAGTTTCGAGAACTTGATGGCAGTCTGCTAGCCAAAACCTGGATACACAGATGAAAGAAAGGCCAATCAGCTCATCTCTATAGAACAGAGATTTAGTTTATACAGAATCAAGAAATATCCCCTTGCATCCTAGAAGTGCTTCCCCGCTAGTCTTGATTCTGTCTTGAACTATAAGTTCTACAATCTACCAGCAGGATCAAGTCACAACCTTGAATTTTTAAATTCATTTGCAAATTTGCTTCAGCTAGCCAAAGAGTTCTTTGCTCACAGCAAAAGCAGTCCATGTCTACAGAATGACTGGGGAAGGCAAGAAGCAGGATTGATTGATTTACTTGATCTGATCATTCTAAAGGCACAGCATGCACTCCGCTCTTGAGTTATAGGCCCTCTCAGAAGACTCATTGGTTATTCATAACCTCTGAATTTTAAGTGAAGTGAAAGTCAAGATATCTATCATCAATGGTTGTTTTTTATTTTTCCATTTTTCCTGCTTGATAAGCTCTGTCTCATGTTTTGTTCCACCAGAACACTGAGAATTTCTCGAATTAATTCCAGAACTGGCGCAAATGAAATCTAACACAGGTTCTTTTCCCTTCTGTTCATTTGCATCTTATTTTTCTACCCAGTCCTTGTACGAACTGCACAAAACACATCTGGGATGTAACCATGTGCACAACTTCATCAATATTTATGTACACAGTGTTTCTATAAGTGCATTACAGGACATGTGCAGAGTGGTATCCTGCATGAAAAAGAACTGTGAATCAACAGAAGCAACCGAAATGTTGTCGCAAGTGCTCGTGAACACCCATGTGTACAAAGTCCAGAAATCACGCCCAGGACGGCGCCTCTCTGAAAACAAGCACAAGCAAACCCGAGCACCAAAATCTAAGGAGCAAATCAGATGGGGAGAATGTTCTAAGTTCCTTTCATTTTAAACCTGCATGAAATTTATTTTTGTTCACCTTCCTACCCCCACCAGTCAAGAATCCTCCAGAGCCTAGCAAACACCACCAAAGTCTTTCTGATATTTATCATGCAACCGATAACACTTTGCAAACGGTGATGATGAAGAAGATTTGCATTTGCTGTTGCTCTACCTGGCTGAAACGTTGGTTGTGAAAGAGACACAGTCATTTACAAAGGTCAGCGGTGTGGTTCCTGTGATGTCTTCCCACTGGGCCGGTGAAGTCCCTCCTACGGAAGAGAAGAGGAAGACACTTAAGAAAGCTCTCAGTTCTCGCAGACTTGGAAACGTGCTTGAGTACATAGCCCGATTCGGGCACGCCGTACGTAAGGCAAACACAGGATGGAGGAGAGCCTTTCTCACATGGATCACCCCTCTAACCTGGGGAGGGCGACCATCTGAAGAGGAGGACCTGTCTCCACACGAGCCTGAACACTGGAAAGGAAGTGACACCTTCGGACAATCCCGTTCCACAAGTGCAGCTTGAAGAGCACAAAGCAGGACGGGGGGTGGCACATTCCCCCCATCACGTTTCTGCACAGAACAACTAACCGTCCTCGTATAAAAATTTTCTTTGTCCAGTCAGCTTATGACAATAATTATTAATCATTATTATCCTCTTATCTGTAGCTTATTGATAATTATTATCCTTAGGGAAATTGTGGCCAGAGAAAGAGACCATTTTGGGCTGTCTCCCAGGTGCCTCTCCAGTATTCTACTGCTGGTTGCAGTTCTACTGACCTGTTATGGGAATGTCCCCCCCCCCCACAACAGGTTACCCCACAGGGGAATGTGCCCTCGGCAGGTAAAAAGGCCCCCACCACTGGTCTAACCTGTAATGCTACACAGCAGGCGAAGGCTGGGCGTTGTGTCGCCTTTGTATCCGTTAGTTATCCCTTCCCCTGACGGGGGCGGCACAGGGATGGTCATGGTGATCGGCTTATGGAATTTCCTTCTTCGTGGTTCCACGGTGACGATGGGGCTGAACGTTGCTTTATTGCCGAGGATTTTCTTGACCGTTTCATCAGGAACGGGTTGTGCCTGATATCAATACAGGAGGAGAGCATAAGTTTAGGATATTAAGGTTTAAGGATTCTTTTTTAAGGGAAAACAGTGTGAGATGTTGCACTACAATGAAAGACCTGGAGGAAATCACCCAGTAACTGTACAGTGAACATACACCTGTATGTCCCAGATACGTTACTGTCTCATGTCGGTTTAATCCAGGATGTGGATCCTGAGAAGGATACACTACAGAAGTGCAGCCTGCCCTAACAGCTGGTGTCCTCCAGATGTTTGGGACTTCAGTTCCCATCAGGATTGGGTAGGGATGCTGGGAGTCGGAAGCCAAATGGGCAGAGAGCATGTGCTGGAGGAACCCTGCGCTAGGATGGCCGAATGTGGATGCGGCTCTTGCACCTTTGGTGAGTTGCACCCAAGAGGCAGGTTTGTCAGGCAAGAGCAGAGACAGCTTTCCCTTGTCCTCCTGACTCACTTCCCTGCCACCGGCTCAATGAGTGCGGGAAGAGCATGTGGGGCACGGGTGGCAGTCGCAGCCCAAGTGCCAGGCTGGCACGCACTTGCTTCGCCCCAGGCCGTGCACAGATCAGGGCGCATGTGTCGTTGCAGCTGGTTCGGCTCAAGGAGGCACGAGAAATTAATTCCGGTTCATTCTAGATCCGGCTTCGCTCCTTTGGCACCTTTTGGATCAAACACGGACTCAGGTGCATGCGGCACTGTGGGCACCACAGTTTTCTGAGCTTGCGATGTGATTCCGGGGAGGGGGGGGTGCATTTGAAACATGTGCAAGAAAAAATGCTTGCTTTGGAAATATGCGCACAAAGTTACTTTAATAAATGGGAGAGAATCTGGACGTTTTCTATTTCACACAACTGACGCATACATGAGAGCTGGTGTGGTGGTTAGAGGATTGGACTGAAGACCTGGGAGGTCCAGGTTCTACTCCTCACTCAGCCATGAAGATCACTGGGTCACTTTGGGCCCAGAGCCAGAACTCTCAGCCTAACCTACCTCACAGGGTTGTTGTTGTTGTGAGGATAAAAATGGAGTGGCGAGACCAACCCAATCTGCCCTGCGTTCCTCACGAGAACAAAAAAGATGGGATATAAATGCAACGTAATCTGGATGTGCTGATCTGCGTATCTGCTGTTCAGATAACCCTTACCTCTGTTCTTCAAAGATCTGTGATCTTGTTACCTGAAGGCCTACTCGTATCCTTTTGGTCAATGCTCCTTCGGGGAAAGAGGCCTGGACACGAGGCACAGTCGTGCTGCTCAGAAGTCCACCCTCTGGACCAATCTGGTTGCTCTCCTGCTTAATTCGCGAAACCACGGCAAAGTACTGGGGGAAGTCCTTCGTGACAATTCTGCAGATACGCTTCTTTTCCAGTTCTTCAGGGCTGTCCAGCTCTATGCAAGGAAAAAGTAACAGTCTTTAAATCGGGTACTTATATTACTGCTCCGAGATTCGACAAATGAATTTTTTAGAGAGGGCCTTCGCTATTTTTGGCCTCCCCCAAGCATCTTTGAGTAACTAGGGAACATATCATTCATTCATTCATTCAAAACTTTTGTAGACCATCCCATTACTGAAATCTCGGGACAGTTTAACAATACAAAGTGTTAAAAAAATTAAAACACAGTGTCCTAAAATTCAGCTAATAATAAAATCCTGATTAAAACAGTCAGGTATTAAAACACTGGGAAAATGAAAAGGTTTTGGCCTTGTGCCAAAAAGAATAATGTGATGGTGCCAGGCAAACCTCTCTGGGGAGCGAATTCCACAATTGGGGTGCCACCACAGAGAAGGCCCTTCTCCGGATAGTCACCCTCCTAATCTCCTTCAGGGAGAGCACCCGGAGGCTCCGGAGACCCGGAGACATCTGCCCCAGATCTTAAGGGGTGGGCAGGCACATATGGAAGGAGACGCTCCTTCAGGTAACCAAGCCCTGAGCCTAAACTATCCTTAGCTTAATATTCTCTGCAAGAATGGGTTCTTCTTCCTCTTCCTGGAGGAATCCGCTGCCACAGGAAGTGGTGATGGCCACCCATTTGGATGGCTTCAAGGGGGGATTGCACAAATCCATGGAGGAGAGGCGATCAGTGGCTACCACCCTTGCTGCTTCCCCCTTCACCAGAGGGGGTCTGCCTGCACACACCAGTTCCTGAGGAGCTTGGGCAGGAGGAGGTCTTGCACCCATCCTGCCTGGGGGATCATGTGGGCAGATGGTTTGCCACCATGTGTACTAACTGCTGAACTAGATGGACCTTCGGTCTGATCCAGCATGGATTGTCTTACTGTCTTATGTTCCAAAGAGTCATCTTAAAAATTGAGCTGGTGGCTTTAAGGTATATTGAAGGAAAGGAACAATGGCTGATTCTAAACAAAAGAAATCTATTTTATAACCTACTCTTTATGAATTGGTGAGAGCAGTTCATTACTGTTGTTGTTGTTATTTTATTTGTATACCACCTATAGCCTGTATAACATCAGGACAATCTGATTCCAGGAAATGTTGGAAAAGATATTGACAAATATAAAAACCTTTGTATTATCCCTTGTGTATCTATCTAGCAAATTTTGAACCATATCTTTTGAGGAAATATAATTTATGTGGCAATTTGAAATTTCTGGGTTATGATTCATACATTGGTTCACCCTTTTAAAGCTCCCCCATTTCGCCAGGTCTACAGATACTGTCTTGGATCCGATATCTACCTCAGCCAGCAGATGGTGCTGCTCTCAGCAAAACCAGGAATTATTACTTTAGAATGGAGAACGTACAAGGAATGAGTGGCTAGAAAGTCTTTCCCTGCAGCATCAGGTACAAAGAAGGAACAACCCTGCACGTCACGATGCCACGACTTCAATGTGCAGCAGTCCCGTTCCACAGTGGCTGTGCTCCCAACAACCTTGCAGGGCTGGTGCAGCCCTTTGTAAATTTCTCTCCATGGGGAAGCCTGGCCTTTGTCACCAACGTCACGGCCTGGTGGAAGTAATGTGCTAACTTGGTCTGACTCAC